GCACAGATGGTTATGGTGGTATTGTGCTTAGAGGGTGAGCAATTTTAGAGAGTAGAAAACATGCCAAAAGATTGGAGGTGGCAATATGAGGTTCTAGTCTATTAAGAAGGGTGAAGAAGGGCTGGGAAGTTGGCTCAGTGATAGAGTGCTTGCCTCACGTGCATGAAGCCTTGGGTTCAATTCCTCAGCACCACATAAGCAGAAAAAAGCTCGAAGTGGAACTGTGGCTCAAGTGGTAGGGCACTATCCTTGAGCTAAAAGCTGAGGGATGGTGCCCAGTCCCATAGTTCAGCACCCACGAAGGGTGAAGGATATTTTCAAAACACCAGGTTCAATCCCCACACCATCTTGGAAGATTTGAGTATGAAAGAAGGGGTTAAGCAGGGCATCTGTGGCTCACACCTGTAATCCTAGCCACTCAGGAGGTTGAGATCTGAAGATCGAGGTTTGAAGCCAGTCTGGGCAGAAAAGTCCCCATGAGACTCAACTCCAATTAACCACTCAAAAACCAGAAGTGGTGGTTGGGAAGGTGGCTCAGTGGCAGAGTGCTTGCCTTGCATGCCTAAGGCCCTGGGTTCTATTCCTCAGCACCACATAAGCAAAATGAAAAAAGCCGGAAGTGGCACTATGGCTCAAGTGGTAGAGCACTAGCCTTGAGCTGAAGAGCTGAGGGACAACGCCCAGGCCCAGAGTTCAGACCCCACAACAGGACCCCCCCCCAAAAAAAAGAAACCAGAAGTGGTGCTGTAGCTCAAGTGGTCTAGCCTTGAGCACAAAGAGGCTCAGGGACAGCACCCCAGGCCCTAAGTTCAAGTCTTACAACAAAAGAAAGAAAGAAAGAAGGAAAGAAAGAAAGAAAGAAAGAAAGAAAGAAAGAAAGAAAGAAAGAGAGAAAGAAAGAAAGAAAGAAAGAAAGAGAGAGAGAAAGAGAGAAAAAGAAAAAGGGAGGGAGGGAGGAAGAGAGGGAGGGAAAGGGGAGGGGGAGAGTGGCTATCAAGAGATTGGGTTTGCTGACCCTGGGTGTTATCACAACTGGGAACCTACTAGGCTCCTCTTGCATTGGTGATCTGAAGATTCATTCAAGATGCAACTGCAGCCAGGTGCTAATGGCAACTCTAGATACTCAGGAGGCTGAGATTTGAGGAATGATGTTTGAAGTCAGCCTGGGTAAGAAGGAGTCTGTGAGACTCTTATCTCCAAGTAACCACCGGAAAGCAGGAAGTGGAGCTGTGACTCAAGCTGTAGAGCACCAGCCTTGAGAAAAAACAAACAAACAAAAAAAGCTAAGGGATAACACCTAGGCCTTAAGTTCTAGTCTTGGTACAATGAACTTATCTGTGCATGCACACACACACGATAAATTTTCACTGCTGAAATATATTCCTGAACCCAGAAAGTGAATGCTATAGGTTTCTTCTAGAACTTTTCCTTTGATAGGGCAGGAAAGGATATGATTGGGGCAGGGGACCTTCTTGCCTTCACTCCTTCTTTGTCTTATTTTATGCAACAGATTTCTGGCTAAGCTAGCTTTGAAGAGCTGAGCTACAGGCATAGTTGTTTGAAAATCATCTGTGCTACGTTATAGAACATCTGTGCTGTGGAATGCAGCCCAGCCAAACGGAGCACGAAGTGGATCTGGGCCCACTGACACAGAACAGCCCAAGGCAAACTGTTCAGTGGAGTAAGTGAGTCTCAGAGCACTCTAGGGAATAGCAAGCCACTTATGCAAATAAGCATGAATGAGTCTATGTCTATACTTAGTGACTTATAACAACCACACTTAGTATTGGGATGGCTTATGGCTGGGAGATTGACAACTAAGCTGGGTGACTGTCACTCAGGCTTGTGGTGTTGTGAGTTTGGGTCAGAAGTCTTCTCAAGAGTCCTTTGTACATGTCTGGTGCCTGGACTAGGGATGTCTAGCAGATGGGATCTGGAACGCTAGTCTTTTTCTCTCTAGTTTCTTCTTGAAGTCTCCCCAGTACCTGGGCTTCAGGGCAGCTAGATTTCTTACAAGGAAGCTTAGGGCTTTTAAAGCAGGTCACCTCAGGTAGATCCATGAGGACTCAACATTGGCTTTGATGACTCTATTAGTCTATTTTCATGTACCATAGACTGAGCTATTCAGAAACAAGAAAATTCCAGGTTTGTCAGGCACTCAGTGGTGGCTCAGGCCTGTAATGCTACTCAGGGCTGAGATCTGAGGATATCCATTTGAAGCCATCCAGAGCAGGAAGGAAAGTCTGGGATTCGATCTCTAATTAACTACCAATAAGCCAGAAGTGGACCTGTGGCTCAAGTGGTAGAATGGCAACCTTGAGCAAAAAAGCTGAGGAACAGTGCCCTGGTACTGGCACAAAACACATCCCAGGTTTCTTCTCTCCTCCTCTTTTCTTTTTTTTTTTTTTGGTGGGTCATGGTCCCTGAGCTCTTCAGGTCAAGCCTAGTGCCCTACCACTTGAGCCACAGCGCCATTTCCAGTTTTCTAGTGGTTTATTGGAGATAAGAGTCTCACAGACTTTCCTGTCAGGGCTGGCTTTGAACTGAGACCCTCAGATCTCAGCCTCCTGAGTAGCTAGGATTACAGGCGTGAGCCACTGGTGTGTGGCTCAGCCAAATCTTTTCTGAGGGGCTGGGGAAACAAGCACAGCTCATGAATTTTTGGCCTGAGCTGGCTTTGAATCATGATCCTCAGATGTCAGCTTCCTGGGTGGCTAGGATTATAGGCCTGAAGCTACCAGTGCTTGGCTAGAGAGAATTGTTTAATGGTGAAAATGGGGGCTGGAGGTGTGGATGAGTTGTATAGCATATGCTTAGCATTTGCAAGACCAAATTCTATCCCTAACACCACATACACACACACATTCCCACAATGCACAACTCAATACACACAATCCTCACATACACACACTCATGCATATATGAGATTAAGAGTCTCATGGACTTCCCAGGTTGGCTTTGAACCTCACTCCTCAGATCTCAGCCTCCTGAGAAGTTAGGATTATAGGTGTAAGCCACCAGCACCTGGCTTTATTTTTCCTTTTTCCCAGGACCTTGCAACCACCAGTCTACTTTCTGTTCCTATCAGTCACAGGAATTGCCTATTCTGGACATTTCCTATAAAGGGAATCATACAAATGCAGTGTATGGTGACTATTATCCATGGTGGAGGATGTAGGGTGGGCTTGAAAGAGTGTATTGAAGAAAATATTTTTCAGAAAAAAACTGCAGGTAGTCAGGTACCAGTGGTTCATGCCTATAATCCTAGCTACTCAATTGGCTGAGGTCTGAGGATGGAGGTTCAAAGCCAGCCCGGGCAGCAAAGTCCCCTTGAGACTCTTATCGCCAGTTAACTACTCAAAAACCGGAAGTGGCACTGTGGCTCAAAGTGGTACAGCGCTAGTCTTGAGCAAAAGAACTCATGGACAGCACCTAGGCCCTGAGTTCAAGCCTCACAATGGACAAAACAAACAAACAAACAAACAACTGCAGGTAAATATGAACTAAGTGAAGAGGCACTAGCTCTGTAGCCAGCCTTGGGCACTTATCTAACCCTCTGAAACACCATTTACTCCTCTATTAACAAAGATGATGGGGCTGGGAAGGTGGCTCAGTGGTAGAGTGCTTGCCTTGCATGTATGAGGCCCTGAGTTCGATTCCTCAGCACCACATAAGCAGAAAAGCCAGAAGTGGCGCTATGGTTCAAGTGGTAGAGCACCAGCCTTGAGCTGAAGAGCTGAGGGACAGCGCACAGGCCCAGAGTTCAAGCCCCACAACTGGCCAAAAAATCAAAAAAACCAACAAATAAAACCCCAAATAAAACAAAGATGGTAATTGCCTCCCTTTATAGGGTTATTGTAAGTAGCAAGCATATGTGAATATCTCAGCCCAGAACAGGCAATATTTCTTTCTTTCTTTTTTTTTTTTTGGGTCCAGTTGTGGGGCCTGAACTCTGGGCCTGGGTGCTGTCCCTCAGCTCTTCAGCTCAAGGCTAGCGCTCTAATACTTGAGCCACAGCACCACTTCCGGCTTTTTTCTTTTTGCTTATGTGGTGCTGAGGAATCGAACCCAGGGCAAGGCAAGCGTTCTACCACTGAGCCACCTTCCCAGCCCCAGACCAGGCATTATTTCTATATGTTGTTAGCTCACAGGATTGTGGGAAGAACATTACAGTGGTCCATTTGGTGAGTGTGAGATTGTTAATGATGACTGAGCATGTGTAGAAGCTAGGATGCACTGGTATGTGTCACTGTCACCCAGAGCAAGGCAGTACTTGAAGTCTTTGCTGTGACATGTTAAGGGGGGGAAGAGACTGTGACTGAGATTGAATGTGACAGCAAGACAGATCCTGAGTGACAGAATGGAACAGAGCAGAGGGAGGCAGGCTGCACCAGGCAAACAGAGGCTGCTGGGAAGTTCAAATGTTAGGGCAGGTGTCTGTACTGTCCCCTCCCCCACAGGCTCTCTCTGCAAGTAAGAAGGGGAAGGGCGGGGGGGAGGGGAATGTTTTCACAATGGAAAGATTTTGAGCAGAATATAGAACCTACAATTCTAAAGTGCTGTGGCTCAAGCACCTTTAGTATCGATTGTCACCCAGGGCTCAGGCCTCACCCTGCTGGAACTGTGCACAGAATGGATAGAGAAGAAATGAGACTGATTTCTCCTCTCAGCTTTAGTGTTCAGAGATTTAAAAAAAAAAAAAAAAAGAATCAAAACCTAAGCATTCCTTCTTCTTTTGTCCCCTGAAGGAGGAGAGGAGAAGAGATTGGGGGCGAGGGGGGAAGAGAGAGAGAGAGTGAGAGAGAGAAAGAGTGAGAGAGAGAGAAAGAGTGAGAGAGAGAGAGAGAGAAAGGCTGGCAGAGTGGGCCCACACCAGTGGTAGGCAGAGGCTGCTGGATGGATCCCCCAGGTCTCTCCAGGAAGGCCCAAGACCTTGAGGCCTGCTCTGCAGGCAGTTAAGTAAGGGCCAACAACAGATGTGGGGATAACAGCTGCTTTTATTAAGGTGAAGTCAGAAGAGCAACAGGGACAGGAAGTTGGAAGATGTGGGCTGGACACAGAAACAGGCAGAGGCAGAAAACTACCTTGAAGAGCCGCTCTGAGGGTGGAAAAGTCCTGAGGGTGAAAGAGAAAAGGGAAAGACTGCTCTTCCTCCCGTAGGAAGCTGAGATAATGAGCTCGCACACACAGGGACCCTATTGCCCTGACCCAAGGTGACTTTAATACACAGTAAAAAAGAATGGCATGGATATTAATTTGAATTTGGCCTCAGAAAGATGAGAGAATTAAAACCATGATTAAGGCAGCACAATGATCCAGAGTGTAGGATTGGGAGAGAGAATAAATAGCCTAGTGACCCACATATAAAACAGACATATAAATGAGGGAACAAGATTTGAGGTTCACAGAAGGTCATCTTGCCCATACTGCAATGGAGGACAGTGCCAATGCCACATGACAGCAGCAAACATAGCACCCTGACACCCTGTCTGATGTGGGGGTTGAAGGATGGGTGGTGTCACAGCAGCAGAGGAGCCTGGGCTTCGGCAGAGGAGGCCCACCCACTGCTGAGGAAATGGGAAGCAGGGATACGGAGCTGACCCTGGCTTTAGGAGTCTGCAGAGAGGGAAACGAGGCCTGTAGGCAGTGCTTGTAATAGTGGGGTAGGTCTACTTTCTACCTACCATCTGGCTGGGAAACCATCATTCTATCACATGTGGTAGAAGCCATGCATCTAGATCTGGGCAAGACAGGCTCTCTTCAGCCAATTTGGCAAACTGAGGCCAAGTTAGACAAACTCCTCCCAGTCAGGGAAGGGGTCTTTGATCTTTTCCCAGGCCTGAACTCTGTATCTTCAGGGAAGCAGAAAGGTGAGTTAGTGTTAAAGAATATCCATCAAGAGGGGCCTGGGTGGCACCCACTGTCTCCATCACTTCCGCAAGAACTTCTTGTTGAGGAGGAAGATGAGAAGGTTGACATTGACTTTGGCTTTGTTGAAGAGCTTCATGACAGCTACACCCTCATACTGCAGCTGTAAGAGGTCCTAGGAGAGAAGGATCCAGAGGTGGTTTTAGGAGCTTCTGGTTATGGCATGTCAATCTACTAAAAACTGCTAATCCATTCCACAAATGAGGGAACCAAGGCACAGAGAGAGAGAGAGAGAGAGAGAGAGAGAGAGAAAGAGGCAGAGACAGAGTCAGAGAGACAGAGACAGAGCTACAGTGACAACCAAATGTTAACTTGAAATCAGTTTTCTTCCTCAAAAGGCAAAATGGCGGCGGGGGGGGGGTGAGGTGGAGGGGAAGAGGATTTAAAATCACCACTCCTCTGAACACTGGCTGTGAATGAGGCCAGTTTCCTAACCTTTTAGCCTCAGAGCCAATAAAACAGGGATAATGGTTGTGAGCTGTGGAGAGGATTAAATGAGGTAACATGTAAAGCCCCTGACATGTGATAGTGCTTTAAACCTTAATCTCACTTCTGATATTACCAGCCATAACACTCCCAGACACATGGCAGTGGGGTCTATACATAGGGAAGGGGGCTTGGGCTCTTCTCCAGGAACAGATAACACTAAGGGGGTGAGGAGACAAGCTGATGTCATTTGAGGCCTATGGAGAAGTAGATCATTCTGGTTGGCCAGCACCTAAAGCCCAGCAGGTATTCTGAGTGTTCAAGGCAGTGTCTTCCTCACCTGATAGTGAAGTTGAAATCTCTCCATGTCTACACCCAGGAACTTGGCATTTACTTCAAACTTTCCTGCTTCATTTCCAGGAGTAATGTCAAAGATGACGTTTCTAAAGCTGTCACAACAGGGTTTAAGAAAGGGATCCATCATCTCTTTCCAGGGCAATAGTCCTGCTCTTGCTGCTCATCAGGCAGTGGTTATGTGTCAGCCAAAGTCTAGGCTTCCTCCCTGTTGTTCCTTCCAGGGCCCACCTGTCTTCTCCAGATTTTACTTCCGCTTATACCAACCCTTTTATCTGTCTAATCCTACCCAGCTGTTGGTGCTTCCTTGCGCTTCCTCTCCAGGAAGATTTCCCAGCATTCTTTGCCCTGGGTGTCTAGAACTGTGCTAGACTAGGTCCACTATCATAAAAAGCTCCCTGTCTGGATGTACCCTGTCTTCCCTACCACTCTAGCAACTCCTACAAGGTAGGGAACCTGTTCCTCCCTCCCTTCCACCCAGAGCTCCACTCCCAGAGTAGCTCCCCCCCCCAACAGGGAAGATACATCCCACATCCTGCCCTCCAAAGGTACATACTGAGAGGTGGGGAGATCTTCAATTTCCACCAAGACACCCTTCTCCAAGAGCTGAGCAGCGGTGTAATGAAGGGATGGCTGCTTCTTCCCCTTTCCAGAACTCCTGATTAAAAGAAGGCCCCAGAGAATTCATCCACCACATTGTCCACTATCAAAGACACTAGTTCCCTGTTGCTGGAGGAAGGAGAGTAGACCCCGAGAAGAATTCTCACTGATGGAAGACAGAGAAGAGGCTATACCCCAGCCCAAGACTTTGAATAGAACTCAAACACTAATCAAGAGGGGACTGTGCTGTACTAGGGCTAAATTTCTCCTTCAAAGTTGAGACACCAGGGCAAAGGTGCATACAGGTAGTAGTGAGGACACAGGAAGGAGGGGGGGTGGCAGAACCTACTTGGAGCTGGGGGCCAGGTGGTTCAGGCAGGCCTGGATGTACTGGCTGTAGTAGTCACCCTGTTCCTCATAGAAGGTGGTCTTAGCATTCAGGCCCTGGAACGTGGCCTGCAGCTTCACCAGCTCTGCCTTCCGACGCTGTCGGTACCTGCGCTGATTTCGGATGTCCTGGAGTTTGGAGACCCAGAGAGGAGATCAGTTGGCTCTTCCTGACCAGCCAGCCTCAAGGTCTGTCTGACACAGGTTTAAGAACAAGTCACTAATTCACTTTGAGGATGTTTAGGAAAAGCAGGAAGAGGGGGCTGGGAGTGATGCTTATACCTAGAGTGCTTGCCTAACAAGCACAAGGCCTTAGATTTGATACCCAGCATCACAAAACACAAACAAAAACCCGCAAAACAAACTAACAAAAGTAGAAAGACTGCTTTTCCTAGGATAAACTCAAGGATGCCACCAGGTCCTAAAGGCTTGTCTTTAAGGCCCCTCTCCAACACAGTAGTAGCTAGTTTCCAGGCTCCTTGTGTTTCAGGAAAAGAACAGCTGGTCAGGTACTCTTTGCTTACTTCTGTCATCCTAACTGCTTAAGAGGCTGAGACCTGGTGGTTTGAAGCCAGCTTGGGCAAAGTCCTAGAATGGTAGAGAGCTAGCCATGAATAAGCAAGCCAAATAAGAGCATGAAGCCCCGAGGTCAAGCCCTGGTACAAGAAAAGAGTTGTAAGAACAGCTCCCTTCCTGGCTAATTTTTGGAGCTTTCCTTTGAAAAGAACTGCTGGGGCTGGGAAGGTGGCTCAGTGGTAGAGTGCATGCCTTGTATGCATAAGACCCTAGGTTCGATTCCTCAGCTCCACATAAGCAGAAAAAGATGAAGTGGCGCTGTGGCTTAAGTGGTAGAGCGTTAGCTTTGAGCTGAAGAGCTGAGGGACAGCGCCCAGGCCCAGAGTTTAGGCCCCACTACCGACAAAAAAAAGAAAAAGAAGAAAGAAAAGAACTGCTAGCCTTCTTCTGGCTGGTGACAATTATGAGTGGCACACATTAGGGAGAGGCCTACCCTTAGCACACCAACACTATGGACCCACTCATTCATGCAGGGATATGCCCCAGTGCATGCTCACAGCAGACACATGAGCATAAAAGGTTGATACCTTGGCCAGCTCATCCACCAGTCCTTGATAGCCATTGCTGGCACTGACCAACCCCAGGCCCTCGAGTCGACGCAGATTTCGCAGGATGCGACGCTGCTTCTCTGCCAGCGGTAGGAGGGAGTGAGCCATCAGGGAGCGATGTCGCCTTAGTGGCTCCGGGGTCTGGGCCTCATTGGCCTGGCGTCGGCACATCAGCCGCTTGTGGGCTACTTCCTGAAGGGCAGAGACACTGAGAAGGCTACTAAGCCCTATTTACCTGTCCTAAACCAGGTTAGAGGCAGCATCAACAAAAGGAGCCCTGATCACTTTTCTGAGCTTAGGTTGTGGGGATAGTGGCAGGGGAGGGCACAGCTGGGGAAACACACCGAGCAGAAGCTCACAACATATGGATAGGTCTCATGGATTGACATGAGAAAGGAGGAGCTTAAAGGAGACACAACAGAAGCTGCAGAACACAGCATCCAGATAGGCACTAGCTATGGCTTCCTAACAATGAGGCTTTGTGACAGATACAGGGTGTGTGAGAGCATTTCCCTTCTTCTTGTTTTGGGACATGCCTCTACTAGCTACTGAGTACCTCTGGCTCTGACTTCACCCCAGCTAGCCCGGTTGGCCTTGGCCCCTGCTAACTACCCACCCTCTCTTGCCTCTGGGACCAGCATCTTTTTTTGTTGTTGTTGGTCACGGGGCTTAAACTTTGGACCTGGGTGTTGGCCCTGAGCTCTTCAGCTCAAGGCTGGTGCTCTACCACTTAAGCCACAGTGCCACTTCCGGTTTTCTGGTGATTAGTTGGAGATGAGTCTCATGGACTTTCCTGCCCAGGCTGGCTTTCAACTGTGATCCTCTGATCTCAGCCTCCTGAATAGCTGGGAATTACAGGTGTAAGCCGGGCCAGCATCTTTTGAGAGAAGCCCTTGGTATTTTCTTCAGGAAGGTTCCCTGGGCCCTCCTCATGCCCACAAGCCAAGTGCTAACACAGAAGTTCTCAGCCCAGCATGGAGAGGAGATGCAGGCCCAGGACTCTGAAGTCTGAGGTTCTCTGAAGCTAGCTTGTTTTCTTAGTTTGTGACCTCTGGGATGAAGGCCAGAGGCTTGGCTCTCAGACTGTTATAACCGCTGAACCCAGGTACTGAGGGAGAAATCAGCAGTGCTAGGGCAAAGTGAGGTACATGAGATAGATCCTGTAGGGTAGCCAGGCCACTGACCTGTTCTCTAGAAGCTGAGAGGGCCAGGATTTCCTCGAGGGTGTCACCATGGTGGAACTGGATGATATCAGCCAGCATTTGCTTGGTGCTGCAGAGGAGGGCGGTGGTGAGAGATAAGGGGCTGGCTAAGAAAGAGACTGGGCCCTTTTGGCCATGCTTCTCATGCATAGTGGGGGCAGCAGTTTGGTAAATAAACTTCTTTTCCTGCCTGAATACCATGTGGAGTTCTCTTCATCAGCAACCCAATGAAGCTTACCTATTTAATATACCTTACCTATGGTGCTGTGACTCGGATTTTTTTTTTTTTTTTGGTCAGTAGTAGGGCCTGAGCTCTGGGCCTGGGCACTGTCCCTGAGCTCTTCAGCTCAAGGCTAACCTTCTACCACTAAAACCACAGTGCCATTCCCAGCTTTTTCTGCTTATGTGGTGCTGAGGAATCAAACCCAGGGCCTCATGCATGCAAGGCAAGCACTCTACCACTGAGCCACCTTCCCAACCCTGTTAAAGTTTTTGACCACCCCTTTTCACAAGCCAAACTGCCGCAAGACATCACATGAGACTTGTTCACCAATAACATTGCTGGCTTTCACATCCTCGTCCACACCACTTCTCTACTCTATTCAGTGCCAACCAGTCGACATGTAGTCTAGATCTAGTCTATCTCTTCCAACTTGGAAGATGTCTTCATTCCTGCCTAGACCATCCTGATTACCTCCACCATGTAAAAGTAGACTAGACTCCTACTTGACACCATCACACACAGCTGATTCCTGGTGAAAGACTGACTCCTTTGGATTTGCAAATCTAAGACTCTTTCTGTAATATTAGATTTGTAAACCTTACCCAGCCTGACCTGGAAAGGGCTAGTTATGTTGTTATGCTAATGAAACAAGTGTAGGCCAGGAAAGCCTCTTGTGAACTCTGGTTAACTTAGGCATCACCAGAAACCAATACTATATCTGTGCTAAAACTCTCTCTCAAAAAAAAGGGGGGGGACTAGACATGGGCTGACCAGAGATCCAAAAGTAAATGTGTCCTGCCCTATGTCATAGGTGCCAGTTATGCTTGGGAGTGGGAGAGAGGGAGAGTGGGAAGAAGTGCTATTGCTAAGAACTCATGCCTTCAACTAGTTTCCTTTGAGACTTAAGCAAAAGCACACACTTCTTCCTCCCAGCCCAGGTGTCCATTCTCCTGAGCTCATAGTGTACCCGACACTCTCCTGTCTGTGTCCCCGTGGAATTCATTTCATTTCTTTTTTCTTTTTCTGTGGCTTGAAATTAGGGCCTGGGCACTGTCTCTGAGCTTCTTTTGCTCAAAGCTAGTACTCTACCACTTGAGCCACAGCACCACTCCAGCCTTTTCTGTTTATGTGGTACTGAGGAATCGAACCCAGGGCCTCATGCATGCTAGGCAAGCACTCTACCACTGAACCATATTCCCAGTTCCTTCACTTTTTTTTGTTGTTTTTCTTGTTGTTTTATTTTAATTTTTGGTTGGTTGTGGCGCTTGAACTCTGGGCCTAGGTGCTGTCCCTGAGCTCTTCAGCTCAAGGTGAGTGCTCTACCACTTGAGCCACAGTGCCACTTCCGGTTTTCTCTCGGTTAATTGGAGATAAGAGTCTCACAAAACTTTCCTGCCCCGGCTAGCTTTAAACCATAATCTGAAGATCTCAGCCTCCTGAGTAAGTAGGATTACAGGTGTGAGCCATCAGTGCCTGGCTTCACTTTTTAATTCATTTTTTAAAAAACTGTTATTGTCAAGGAGTTGTATAAAGGAGTTATTAGTCTATAAGTCAGGTAACGAGTATAATGCTTCTTGGACAATGTCACCCCTTCCTTTGCTTCCTACCTCACTTTTAAAGAAGTGGGAAGAAGAAATTCATGCCATCCTCTGATCACATTTTTTTTTTTTAAGTGCTGAGAGCTAGGCATTGGTGGCTCATTCCTATAATCCTATCTACTCAAGGAGCCTGAGATCTGAGGATCATGGTTCAAAGCTAGCCTGGACAAGAAAGTTTATGAGATTCTTATCTTCAATTAACCATCAGAAAACCAGAAGTAGAGTTGTAGCTCAAAGTGTTATAGCACTAGCCTTGAGCAGAAAAGCTCAGGGACAGCACCCAGCCCCTGAGTTCAAGCCCCACACTGACAAAAAAAAGTGCTGAGGACTCAGCCATGTCTCTCATTGGCTGTGCGACTATGGACTATCACAACACCTGAGCTTCTTTCCTCACCCATGGAGACTACCACCTACTTCACAGGTTGTCCCTCAGGTGAATGCTTATCTTTTAAAAAGAGCATATTGCTTCCTGTACACTGACAACGTACAAGCAGAAAGGGGCATAAAGGAAGCAACCCCATTCACAATACCTCCCCCCAATAAAATAGTTAGGAATTAACCTAACCAAAGATGTAAAAGAACTATTTAACGAAAACTATAAAAACTTAAATAAATTACAGAAGACACTAGGAAACGGAAAGACCTTCCATGCTCTTGGATAGGCAGACTTAATATAGTGAAAATGGCAATACTGCCAAAATTAATATACAAATTCAATGCAATTCTTATTAAAATCCCAATGACATACATTTCTGAAATACAGAAAACAGTCAAAAAATTCAAATGAAACAACAAAAGACCTAGAATAGCCAAAACAATTTCAGGCAAAAAAAGACAACATGGGAGGGATCTCGATGCTGGACTTCAAACTCTACTATAGAGTCATAATAACAAAGATAGCATGGTACTGGCACAAAAACAGACCTGAAGACCAATGGAATAGAAGATCCAGAAATAAAACTACACGCTTACAGTCAGCTGATATTTGACAAAGGAGCCAAAGACATACAGTGGAAGAAACACAGCCTCTTCAACTATTGGTGCTGGGAAAACTGGACGGCCACATGCAGAAAACTAAAAGTGGACCCCAGCCTATGATCATGCACCAACATCAACTCAAAATGGATTAAAGACCTTAATATCAAACCTGAATCTCTGAAACAACTGCAGGACAGAGTAGGAGAGACACTTGAACTTATAGGCACAGGCAGGAACTTCCTGAACAGAGTCCCAGGGTCACAACAAGTTGGAGAGAGACTTGACAAATGGGACTACCTTAAAATAAAAAGTTTCTGCACAGCTAAAGCTATTGCAACCAAGCTAGAAAGACAACCAACTAATTGGGAAAAAATATTTACCAGCAATATATTAGACAAGGGGTTAATATCCAGTATATACAGGGAACTCAAGAAACTAATCCCTCCCAAACCTAACAAACCAATTACTAAATGGGCAAGGGAACTAAAGAGAGACTTCTCAGAAGAAGAGATAAAAATGGCAAAGAAACACATGAGGAAATGATCACCATCCCTGGTAGTGAAGGAAATGCAAATAAAGACAACCCTGAGATACCACCTTACCCCGGTCAGAATGGCCCACATCCTAAATAAAGTCAGCCAACGACAAATGCTGGAGGGGATGCGGAGAAAGAGGAACCCTATTACACTGCTGGTGGGAATGTACTCTTATACAACTACTTTTGAAAGCAGTCTGGAGTGTCCTCAGAAAGCTAATATTGACCTCCCTTATGACCCAGTCATACCACTTCTAGGCATCTATCCTGAACAACAGGAACCAGTTTACAGGGACACATGAACCTCCATGTTTATTGCAGCACTGTTCACAATAGCCAGGATATGGAAACAACCCAGATGTCCCACCACAGATGAATGGATCCAAAAATTGTGGTATCTATACACAATGGAATATTATGCAGCCATTAGAAAGGACAAAATAATGGCATTTTCAGGGAAATGGATGGAGCTAGAAGAAATCATGTTGAGCCAAGAGCAAAGAGACAAATGGCACATGGTCTCCCTGATAAATCCAAAACATAAGGTGATATGACAAAATTCACAAGGCTTAGCAAACAAAGGACTTTCACTCATCTGGTCGAGTCACTACTAAATAACCCCACACTGCTGATCACATATATTGTATATGTGTGCACACTGGAGGGAAACCAGGAGGATGACACAGAACTAGAGGGAATCAGGGAAGAACATACAACAGTGGGACCCATCAGCTGCACTGGACATTGACCAAAATGAACTAAGCAACTCAATGGCAGTGATGGGAGGGAGGGAATGAGTGGGAAAGAGGGAACAGCTGATGCTATGCAAAACAAAAGAAATGTACATATCACCCAATGTGGAAGAGATAACTTATTACAAAGCTCATAGAACTCCTAAATGTTATAGACCATGATAGAAAATTTGCTCCATGAAAGTTAAAATTGTGTTTGTGACTTTAACTAAGCATCATTATCCCACAATACTGTGAAATTTGGGAAATTATGTAACCACTTAATCACAATAAAAAAAATTTGAAATAAAAAGAGCATATTGGTAAAACAGTATAATAACATGTTGACAGTTGTCCATCTTAATCATTCCTTTGCCTTCAGCTTCTGAGTAAAGAATTAAAGTTGCCAGGAGAATAGCTGAGACTTCAGTAAGGGGAATGAGGGTTAGACTATAGAGAAAACTTCCTGGTGGATAAGAGGGCTCAAGAAGAAGGTGGAATGGCCCTTTCTGAGTGGCCATTTGATTGCACCTACTTCAGAAGCAGGCTCCGGGCACTGGTATCATCAGTGTCTGTTTCTAGTCCTTCAAACTTGTTGGTGAGTGTCAGGGAGACTTCGAGCTTGCTCAGATCCATGTGTCCATCTGTAGCTATGTTCTCCCCTGGAATGAGGAATGAGATGATCAGGCACACATACATGTGGATACACACACAGATGGGATTGTGGCAGGTCTCCTCCTTACATATCTTTCAAGAAGCCTTCCCATACTTGCCCCATGGTACCCCATCAACCTGCTCTACTGGGGCTGTGACTCCCCATGTCCTTAGCCTGGTTATCAGGGGGCTGTCTCCCACAGTTTGGAGCTCTTAGCTCTCTTAACACTATCATTCTACCTGATAAGCTGGCTTCTACCCACCCACAGGCCTGGAGGCACTACCCATCAGAGAAACCTATGAAGATCCAAACAGGCTCCATCCCCCCAAATCTCTTAATTGCCCATTGATATGCCACATCTGTCTACTCTCTTTTTATCAGACTACATACCTGCGTCTCAGAACCACAGAGAGGGAGAGAGTGTAACATGTAGTATCAAACTGGGTTGTGCAAGCATGCTCACAGGCCAAGCCCACATGCTGTCAGTCCCTCCCTGTCGGCCCTCAGATGCCAGAAGGACATGTACCAATAAGGTCAGGGACTGTGGGCAGCTCCCCAAGATCCTCCAGGAGCTGGTGCAGGGGGTCTCGGTGGTCAGGGGCGATCCAGTCCTGGTGCTCCAGCAATAGCTGCAAGTGGAAGAGGGACATGCAGGAACTGAAATGGGCCTTGCTTCTAGACCAGTCCATCCCGTTACCAATCCATCCACCTCTTACCTTGTGTGTGCTGACCAGCTCCCCCACGGTGATGTATACCATGGGTTTGGCCACAGCCACCATGTCTGAGTACTCATCCATTGCAAAACGTTCCTCTGGCTCTGGCACCTGGCAGGCTCTGCAGATGAACTTCCTAACACCAGGGGGAGGGTCCATCAGAGTACTCTGTTTTGTCCCCTTCTTCCCTTCCTCAACCCCCTCCAGGATGCTTCTACTCAGCTCCAGCTCCTTTTGCCCCCCCCCTTCTGTCCCAGTATCCTATCCAAACAACCTCCTCTGCTGGGGAGACCTTCCATAACCTAAGCTCCAGCCCTTCCCCTGCCACCTATGTGTCTTTCTTCCTCATGGGTTCAGGGGGAAAGGGCAGGAGGGATGTGAACCCAAAGCAGAAAGAAAAGGACAGCAAGGACCTGGAAGACAGGACCCCAGACCTGAATTTGAGGTGAGTCTCCTCCAGATAGTCATTCAGGATTCTCAGGTGCTGGCTCTCCCCTGAGAAGGCCTTGGCAGCTGCAGCGTGCTGCAGGAGCTGAGCCACAGCCCCCAGGGCGTGGCGCTGGGGGGCAGCCAGGGCACCACCTGCTGCCATGGCCACAATGTCAAAGGCGTCCGGAGCTACCACAGCTGGGTTCAGGAACCGGTAGTACAAGAGGTTCCCTACCACCTGAGGAAGAGGAAAATCTTTCAGAGGAGCCTGTAGGCCACCTTGCCAGCTGGCGCTCCACATTACCAGAACACATGGCATGAAGGGATGAAGGGACCACCTGGGCCAGTCCTTGCACATCAAAGGAAAAGCAGACCCCAAGCAGGCAGGTAATACTCAAAGTCATGCAGCAAATTTGAGCAAGAACTAGGACTAGAACCCAGAACTCCAGACAAGAAGCCCAGGGCCGTCCAATTAGCTCCTGTCCTACCCACGTCCCCATCAGCTACCCAAAGCCTGCCTTTGTGCCAAACTTGATTTGTGGAGGCCGACATATTTTCTTCTTGGGCTTTTTATATATCTTTCTTTTCTTGTGTCTGGGAGGGAGGAGGTAAGACAATACTTGCCTTATAGATCTCACTCTCGGTAGCATTGGGGAACTTCTTTGCCAGTGTAGTCTTTAGGACTTTGGCCACATACCGCATCCCATACCTGGGGGACAAAGTAATAGGTGCTCTGTGGCTCTTTCCACCTCTGTTCCAGGGCTCAGGGAAGGACTACCTGGCTGCCTCCTCTCCCATTCTCAGCCACACCAGAGCACTGTCCCTCCTCTGCTGCAGCTCTCTACTTTTGGGCTTAATTACTATATCCTGTCATCTACAAAAAGTTCTTAGAGCCAGGCATCAGTGACTCATGCCTATAATCCTAGCTACACAGACAGCTGAGATCTGAGAATCAGTTTGGAGTTAGCCCAAGGCAGAGAAATCAGAGGCTTTTATCTCCAAAAAAACAAACAACAAGCAAAAAGCCAGAAGTAGTCTCACAAACTTTCCTGCCCAGGTGGCTTTGAACCATGATCTTCAGAACTCAGGATCCTGAGTAGATAGGATTATAGGTATGAACCACTGGTATCTGGGCAGGGAGGGGGGGAGTAGTTGTGGAGATGGGAGGGAAGGGATGGCAGAGGAAAACAAAGGAGACAACAATGTTTGATCAGAAATGTACTCATTACCTTGCCCATGTAACTGTAACCCCTCCTCTGTACAGCATTCTCACAATAAAAAACTTATTAAAAAAAACATTTTTTTTTGGGGGGGGAGGGTCCGGTCGTGGGGCCTGAACTCTGGGCCTGGGCGCTGTCCCTCAGCTCTTCAGCTCAAGGGTAGCGCTCTACCACTTGAGCCACAGTGCCACTTCTGGCTTTTTCTGCTTATGTGGTGCTGAGGAATTGAACCCAGGGCCTCATGCATGCAAGGCAAGTGCTCTACCACTGAACTACATTCCCAGCCCTTCTTGAGTAAATTTTAAGAAGGGAGAGAACTGGAAAGTACTTTACAGATTTGAAGACTACTTCCTTCCTTGTCTTCACTTTGTGAACTAAGGAGGAATCCCATTTTATCTCTATTTGTTCTCAGATAATAGGTCTGAGACAATAACATGACTACTTCAGATTCCCTCCTCTGGCTCTAGTGAAATCCTAAAGGGCCACAGAAAGGCTTGCCTGCTATATTCTAGCTCAGCTTACGGACAGCATCTTTGATTATTCACAATACATCTGGAACCCTCTGAGCACATCCAGCTTCATTTCTTTTCTTTTTTGCTGGTCCTGGGGCTTGAACTCAGGGCCTACGCACTGTCCCTGAGCTTCTTTTGTTCAAGGCTAGCACTCTACCACTTGAGCCACAGCACCACTTCTAGCCTTTTCTGTTTATGTGGTACTGAGGAATTGAATCCAGGGCTTCATAAGTGCTAGGCGAGCACTCTACCACTAAGTCACATTCCCAGCGCCCAGCTTCATTTCTTTACTATTTTCCTCCTTTTAGGACTATTGCCTTGCTCTGTTCTCCCCATCTTACCTGGTTCTCTTTTTTTTTTTTTGGGTCCGGTCATGGGGCCTGAACTCTGGGCCTGGATGCTGTCCCTCAGCTCTTCAGCTCAAGGCTAGCACTCTACCACTTGAGCCACAGCACTACTTCTGGCTTTTTCTGCTTATGTGGTGCTGAGAAATCGAACCCAGGGCCTCAGGCATGCAAGACAAGTGCTCTACCACTGAGCCACCTTCCCAGCTCCCTCTTTTCTTTTCTTTTTCTGCCAGTCCTGGGGCTTGAACGTAGGGCCTGGGCACTGTCCCTGAGCTTCTTTTGCCCCAGGCTAGCACTCTACCATTTGAACCAGAGCACCACTTCCACTTTTCTGTTTATGTGGTACTGAGGAATCGAACCCGGGGCTTCATTCATGCTAGTCAAGCACTCTACCACTAAGCCACATTTCCAGCCCTCGTTTTTCTTTTTTGTTAGTACTGGGGTTTAAACCCAGAGCTTAATGCTTGTGGTCAGATGCTCTATCACTGAGCTTATGCTTCCAGCCCATGCCCTTTTGACATTCCATGCCTAGCCTGGGGCAAAGCTTTCATACATACGGAATTTGGTCCACAGATGAAATGATGGCTACTACGAATTTATCGGTAATGGCAAGGAGGTTGCGCAGGGAGATGTCTAGCCGTCTCTGGACCTCGGGATGGCACAAGGCTTGCTCAGGGGTGACATCATAGGGAAGATGGCTGTGGGCAGAGACATTCAAGGTGAAACCAGAGGCTCCTTACCACTAGATTTCTCTCTAACAACAGGGTTTCACACAGACATGCTTGGACTCAGGGAAGCCTGGAGCAATGTGGGTGGAAGGTGAGGTAGAAAGAATTGTACCCACAGGAGGCTGGCAGAGTGCACAACAGAATGGAGGACCCAGCATCTGTGTAAAGACTCCTAAGGGGACCTGGCAGAAACTAGAGGGCTACAGTCAAATAATCTTTTGCAGCTTTCATGCTATCCAGAACAGCCACCAGGATTATCAGGTCTCTTTTCTTTGTACCCATGAACCTAATACTCCAACCTACAGAGCCAATCTATATTTCCCACTATCTCATTTGCCTATTGATACGTGTAAATCTGAACATAGATCTATACCCCTATCAGTACGTTATCTATACTAAATTCCTAACAAACCTGGCACACCATTTACAAGCCCTGACACAGCAATTAAGCATATTTGCATATTCGTCTTATGTTAAACCCACTAGGTCTGGGATCATTTGTTAACAAAGCACTGTTAATCAGGGGAGTGGGGAGTGGAGGAGGCTAAAAGGCTACCTTATTTACTCCTATAGTGCTAGTGTCATCTTTTTATAAATCAGTATGGTTGCTTATATGTCACCTTCAAACACACCCAAGCTTCCCCAGGGAGGCCTATGCCGGAGCGGATCAAAGAGAGCTCTTCCATTATCCATCTGCTCACCTGCGCTGCCCTGTCTGGGCTTCAGTCTGGTTGATCCAGTTCTTATAGAGGTAGACAGGGTCTGTGTGGACGCTGAGCACCTTGTCCTCCAGCACGTCCTGGATAACCTTGCCCAGGATCTCCCGCAGGGCACACTGTCCACGCTCATTACGGTAGAATCTCACCACCAGCCTCACCACTGTTGGGTTGCCTGTCACCACATCCTGGGGTTGCTCCACCTTTGACCTATGGTCAAAGAGGTCAGTGAAGGTGGTCTCATGCCTCGAGATAGGACAAATAGCTACTTTTTTTTTTTTTTTTTTTGAAATTTTGGCTTTTCAAATCCTACTCTGGTGTCCCTGTCTTTTTTGGTGTCCTCATCTTAAGCAACGTGCTGATATCTTTGTCTTATTCTTTCTGCTATCGTGTCAAGCCCAACCCGCCCACCATGCTGTCCCAGAGATGTCTTTGTCTCTCCACAGGAGTCAGAGAAGAGCAATTTTCTGATGCCAGTCTATCCTGACACCTCAAGGAGCTTTTGTCCTGTGAAGGAGCACAGGGGCATCTCTATGAACACCTTCCTCCCCCATATCCACTCCTGTTATCAGGAGAACCCACTCGATTTCTTCTTGGAGTGCAGTCTTGAACAGCTGGAGCAAGAGGTAGGCCTCTCGGCGGTTGGAGGCATAGTTGTACAGACTGAAAATCACTGCTTCCATGAACTTGGTGGTTCTGTTCTGTGGCATCTGAAAGATTAGCTTTGCCAAGTAGATGGGTTGAGTCTGCAAGCGATTGGGGAGACAAGGAGCTGATGAAGCACTTCAGCAAAGTAAAGGCTTTCCTGAGGGAAGCTTAGAGTAGAGGAAGCACTGTTACACCTTCCTGGGGTATTGGAAACATTTCAGACATCAGGGAACAGCAGTGTCCTTCCCTAGGAATAGGTATTGGACTGTGGGAAAGGAGAACACTTTGCATAGGGGAAAGGCATAGAGAAGGCCTTAAGGTCCCAGACCCATAGGAGTAGAAGAGACTTCTCCTTTGGAAGTCCTCTGCTCACCTGGAGCAGGTAGAAGAGGTGTTGGTAAGCTTCTAGCTTCTGCCGTTTCTCTTTGCTCAATGACTTTAATCCCTTCTGCTTGTCCAGAACCATCATATCTGACAGCTGGTCCTTATTCTTCTTGGTCAGCTTCTTGCAGTGAGAGACCACCTCCTGCAAGGAAAGGAAGTGGGAAATATTACCAGCCCAGCTCAGTACCAAGCATGGGAACAGATGGTCTAGAATCAGCAATGGTAAGAGCCAGGGTTTCCTGGCATTTAAGGCATAGGTATGAGTTAGGGGAGCTCAACAGTTCTCTCCTACATGAGACTCCCATCTGGCACCTCTGCACTAACAGGGGAGAGTCAGCAAAGACTGGCTTGCCAGGCTAAAGCACCATGTCTACTTGGTTTTGCTTTTTTTTTTTTTTTTTTTTGCCAGTCCTGGGGCTTCTACTCAGGGCCTGGACAGTGTCCATAAGCTTTTGTGCTCAAGGTTAGTGCTCTACCACTTCAAGCCACAGCAACATTTCTAAATTTGTAGTAGTTAATTGGGGATAAGAGTCTCATGGACTTTCCTGCCTGGGCTGGCTTTGAACCTCAACCTCAGCCTCCTTAGTAGTTAGCTTAATATTATTTCTTATTGAAATGATATACAAACTTAAGGTGGATATACTACTACTAGATTGTCACTGAATATTTGTAATCAATTTGCAGTTTAAGGAGCTTTCAGATCTATCCTTGCATCTGGCCTTGGGAAGTAAATATTCATCATTTTGGTTTATTAAAGAAGAAATAGAGCTAGGTACTGGTGGCTCACACCTGTAATCCTAGCTACTCAGGAGGCTGAGATCTGAGGATTGTGGTCCAAAGCCAGCCCATGCAGGAAAGTTTGTGAGACTCTTATCTCCAATAAAATACTCAGAAAAAGCCAGAAGTGGTGCTGTGGCTCAGGTGTTGGCTTGAGCAAAAGGAGCTCAGGCACAGTGCCTAGGCCCTGAGTTCAAGCCCTAAAACTGGTACCAAAAAAAAAAAAGGAGAGAAGAGAGAGAAAAGGGGGGGAGAGAAAGGGGGGACAGAGAGGGGAGGGAGAGAGAGGGAGGGAGGGGGAGAGAGAGGGAGAGAGAGAGAGAGAGAGAGAGAGAGAGAGAATAGACTTTGACATTAAATGATTGCATATAAAACTTAGGGAGTGGCTCAGTGATAGAGTGCTTGCTTGGCAGTTGCAAGCCCTAAATTCAATCCCCAGTGCTGCTCAAAATAAAAATGAAAAAAAATTGTCATAAATGATCATCTGTAGTCCTATACCAATTCTACCAGAGATCTTCCTATTGTACACATCTCCGACCAAGGCACAAGGCCTCAAGCCAAGTGATAAAATGCACATATTTTTTGTCATGTGTGTGTAGTTCTGGGATTTGAACTCAGAGCCTTGAGTTTGCTAGGCTGGCCTTTTACTGCTAAGCTAGCCTCTAGAAACGAACATGTTTATAAAAAGAAAAACTGCAACTACAGAACAGTCAGCATTCCCCTCCAGGAGCAGCAAGATTTGGGAGAGGAGCAGGCCAGAGAGCCTCACCTGCAAGGTGATTCGATTTTTGACCAGCAGACCAATCTTGATGTCCATGAGGTTGAGGTCTTGTTCCAGCTGCTGATTGGACCGGATCTTCCTGACCACCTCTTCCTGGAGCTTTAGCAGCTCTGCCTCAGCAGAAAAGTCTTCCTGGCTCTGGTTCAAGAGGTGGGCGAATCTGCGCACTACACTGAGGGGAGGGTGGTGTGCATGCACTGGCAGGAGGAAAGGACGGAGGAGGAGAGGATGGAGGAGGTGCTGGATTAGGCAGGCTGCACCAGCTCTGACCTCCTTCTGAGGCCAGTAGCTCTCCAACTTCAGGTCTCTTCTAACTAGCTCTGTTTGCAGCTGTCCAGCCAGACTGCCTCAGACTTCCTGTCTTCCAGCTGGGAGGATATAGATCTGCCTTACCTCTGCCCTTAGCTGCATCCCCCACCCAGACCTCTCCCAATGGTATTTCCACACCCAAGCCAGAGTCTCCGCTCCCTCTGATGCTCCTCCCAGCCTCCTGTTCTACCCCATCCTCTCCTTTCCTGCTGGGCTAACCTGCCTCTTATTCTCCCACCTATCAGCCTTCACCAGCCATCTGCTTCCCATCATGTCTCTGCTAGGAGAGACATGGGCTGAGGCACAGGTAGACAGGACAGTCAATGTGTCTTTATGATATGAGGTGGTCAAAGCTAGATGGTGATTTGGTGTGGGAGGGGTGAGGAAGAAGTCCCTGAGCTGAGGCACAAACAAAAACAAACAACACACGGTGTTCATTATGTGATGAATGATATTCTTTATGTTTTTTCTTAACTAATTCATTTATTTTTGCCTTTGAATCAGGGTGTCACACTTGTTAGAACAGGTGCTTTACCACTTGAGCCACTCCACTGGTAAGTACCTTTTGTGTTGGTTATTTTCAAGATAGGATCTTACTTTATACCTAAGCCAGCCTGGATTACAATATTCCTATTTGTGCTTCCTTTTGTCACTGGAATGACAGGCACGTATCACCATACCCAGCCATTGGTCAAGACAGTGTCTCCCAAATCCCCCAAGCTGACCTCAAACCTCAAGCCCTTGATCTCTACCTCCCAAGTAGCTAGGATTGCAAGCTGGAGCCACTGTGACTCAGTTTATTTTCATTTTTTGGAATAAGGTCTCACTATATATGTAGTCTAAGCTGACTTTGACCTTGCTATGTCTAGTCTCAAACTGAGGATCTTCCAACATTGGACACCAAAATGCTAGTGGATTAGAAGTGTGTGCCACCACACCCAGCACTAAGTGTTTTTTTGTTTTGTTTTTGTCATGGAGCTTGAACTCTGGGCCTGGGCACTGTCCCTAAGCTCACCAGCTCAAGGTGACTACTCTACCACTTGAGCCACAGTGTTACTTCCGGTTTTCTAGTGGTTAATTGGTGATGAGAGTCTCACAGACTTTCATGCCTGGACTGGCTTTGAACTGCAATCCTCAGATCACAGCCTCCTGAGTAGCCAGATTACAGGTGTGAGCCACCAGCACCTGGCTTCTACATTTTTTTCTTTTTGGCTAGTCCTGGGGCCTGAACTCTGGGCCCTGGGTGCTGTCCCTCAGCTCTTCAGCTCAAGGTGAGCGCTCTACCATTTGAGCCACAGCACCACTTTCGGCTTTTTCTGCTTATGTGGTGTTGAGGAATCGAACCCAGGGCCTCATGCATGTGAGGCAAGAACTCTACCACTGAGCCACCTTCCCAGCCCCTCTAAATGTTTTTTTTTTTTTTTTTTAAATATAATAGGCATGCACTACCATAGTTGGCTATAAGTATTAAAACAACCCTGTGAGGTCAGGACATTATAACCATATCTCTGATTGAAGAGCTCATTGAGACACAGAAAGGATAGGTAGGCAACTTGACCTGGGTTATATAGTTAGTAATGAATGAAGGAGTCAAATTTGAAAGGTGAATGACACTTGGTCCAGTCTCTAAAGGCTGTCTAGTAGGAACACATATTTGAAGAGGAAGACATATTTGGAGAAGTCAAAGCAGCTATCACTCCCATTAGGGAGGGAAGAAACTCTCCCCTGTAACCTCCAGGCAGGCACTGGAGCCTTATTTGTAGCCCTTTTTGCTTCAGATAGGATCTTACATTTTCACCTGGGGGCTGGCCTTGGGCAGTAATCCTCTAACCTACACTTCCTACGTAGTTGGGGAGACAGTTGTGACCCACCATGACTGACTTATTGATTGAAATGGGGGTCTAGCTAGAAATGTAAGTCTACCATTCAAAGTGGTAGAACCTTGAGCAAAAGGGCTCAGAGACAGCACCCAGACCCTGAGTTCAAGCCCCATGACTGACCAAAAAAAAAAAAAGGTCACAAACTTTCCTGCCTGAGCTGACTTTGAACCTGATGTGATCCTCACATCTAAGCCTCCTGAGTAGCTAGGATACAGGCATGAACCAACTGTACCTGGCAAAACCATGGGTTAATCTGGCTTTGGAGAATGGATCTTCAAGAAATGAATAGTATGGAAAACTAAGATGACATCTTAGATTGAATGGAATGTAGCAATTAGCTCACTTCACCCTCAACAGATACCATTATCTCCATTGTATAAATTAGGAAATTTAGGCTGTCTGGATTAGGAACTTGCCTGGGGCTACACAGCTAGTAAGGGGCAGAGCCCTGGAAAGAACTCCTTCGCTGAACTAACAAAAAGTAAAGGTTGGCCAGATCAGTGGTCTTAGTGCAACAGCAAGAAAAAAGACAGAAAGGGCCAAGCTAAAGAGGAGTGGGAAGGGAAAGAATCTAACTGCCCAGAAGCAGATGATGTAAGGTCCCTGGTGGGAGAAGGAGAAGGACAAGGGGAAGATATGGAATGCACTGCCATTTCCCCATCAGACAAGGTGGCTCACCTAACATCCTGTAGTCATCTCGGGCTTTCCTGGCTCGGAAAAATGCCTGAATCTTCACAATGGAGTTAATCTGCCAGGAACAAAGAAGGGAACAGGGTGGCTGGCTGTCCTTGCTCTGGTTTCACAAGTGAAGGCTGCACATGGGGGCAGGGTGACACTCACATTCTTCTGGAAGTAGCGCAGACGCCTGAGGTATTGTCTTCGAGCTGCCCACATCCGGGTCCAGGCCTGAATCTGAGAGGAAAGACCCAAGCCAATTCAGCCAACCCCAGAAGTCACTAGGAAGTAAGGGGGTGACAAAATGTTCTGAGAGCTTCTCCAGAAACAGGAGTCTGCCTATACCACTATTCTACCTTGATTACAGCATCCAGGTTTGCTTTAAAATACTGCAACCGCTCCAGGTAAATCTTCCGTTGTCTATAGCCCCGCCAATGAGCCTGCAGAGTGGAGAGAAGAAGGAACCCTAGCAAGTCTTCTTTTGTGCAAGTGGCTTCAAGAATAACCTTGTCCTTGGCTTTCCAAGAAGGGGGAGGAAGAAGGTGGGAAAACTTCCAGTTTTATGGGGAAAGCCAAATGGCTGCACATACCCAGACATGCCTTCTGCCACATATCTTGATCTCATGCACGCATCCACGTGCGTGCGTGCACACACACGCTCACTCACTTTCTCTCTCTCTCCCTTAAGCCATACCTCTGCATGGAAACTCAACTGTGAGATACAGGCCTAAGCAGTATCACCAAAGCATAGTAATAATTTCCCCAAAGCACCAAAACATGTACCACATCCCCACTAAACACACTCAAGACCTGTTTGGAGACCACCTACCTCTTTTTTCCTATGCTCTACCTCCCTCATGGGCACAGAAAGAGAGGAGACAGCTGTTAGGAGGGGCACGCAGCTATGGCCATGTGCCCATTTTTGCCAGTGGCCCCCTGGGCAGCAGGCCTCTAATGTTTATATGATACCAAAGGGGTGCTCTTACAAAGTGTTCAGTAGGTATCTCCACCCTCCCTCTGGTCTCTAAAGCACAAGTGCCATGGATTCCTTCTGTTTTGGTCCCCTTCCTAGGAGCCTCTCTCTTTTTTCTTTTGGATCCGGTCGTGGGGCCTGAACTCTGGGTCTGGGCGCTGTTTTAGCTCTTCAGCTCAAGGCTAGCGCTCTACCACTTGAGCCACAGCGCCACTTCTGGCTTTTTTCTTTTTGCTTATGTGGTGCTGAGGAATCGAACCCAGGGCCTCATGCATGCAAGGCAAGTGCTCTACCATGGAGCCACCTTCCCAGCTCCCCCCTCCCCTTTTTAAATTAATAAAATTAAATTTTCCTAACGGGCATCATTGGCTCATAACTGACATCATAGCTACTCAAGAGGTTGAGATCTGAGGATCGCAGTCTGAAGTCAGCCTGGGCAGGAAAGTCTGTGAGACTTAGCTCCAATTAACTACCAAAAAAGCTGGAAGTGGAAGTGTGGCTCAAGTGGTAGAGTGCCAGATTTGAGTAAAAAAGCTAAGGGACAGCTCCCAGCTCCTGAGTTCAAGCACTAGTACTGGCACAAAATAGTAATAATTTCCTTGGATAGTTTTCTCTCATAAGACACCTACTTTCTTTGGAATATGTCTTGTGATGTACTGCCCTTTAATCTTTGCTTATACCTACCCTTGTTCCAGACACCATTTGCTTCTGTCTTTTAGGGCTCATGCCAAAACACTTGCATGTCCTGGAGCTATGTATTCTACCCCTGACACTGTTGCAGTGTGGTAAGATTTAAGAACTTTCTTCCAGTGCCAGATTCATACCTGTAATTCTGGCACTTTGCGAGGCAGAGGCTGAAGGACTGAGAATTTGAGGCCAGACTAGGTCAATTTGTCTCAGACAACTAAACTAAACTAAAACTGAAATAGCATCACTGCGCCCAATTGTCCTCACCTACCTAAATCCAGTTATCATGGCCAAGCTTCATCTCAGACTCAGACAGTCCCTTTGTTGGAACAGGATGTGGAAGAGCCAACTTTGTCCAAACATCAGCTGTCTATGTTGGAGCCTTAGGGCCAGGAAGCACTATTTACATGGATGCCTTCAGCATTTCCTACTCTAAGTATTGCCTGGCTCAGCCTCTGGAAAGTACTATAGGACCTGGCAGAGGGATCTGCTCTCAGTTCTTACTCTTTTCTCAGCCCCCCCAATCTAGATTAGACAGAATTCAAAATCCTGGGAAGAGTTCCTGCTAGGGTTAGAGTTTTCAGAAGAGTTTAAAGCTCTGTGTACGCAGGCATCTCATTTTTTTGTCTCATATCTCTACAACTGGAGGACAAATGGCCTGAGGCTCTGGGAGAGCTCTGTTCAGGTGTGTGTGTGTGTGTCCCAGGACCCAGAGTCCACATAGCTCTAGGATGAGTGATGAATGCTCCCAGGCTCCATCTCCTCTCCTACTGTTGATGTGGCTTTACGTTGCCTTAGGTGTGAAATTCCAGTCTGGGTTCAAAGGGAGGAGTTCTGATGATTCAGATGACCACATGCAGATTAGTAAAGTTCTATATTAAGTTCTGGGATCAATACCCCTGATAACAGCATTGTATAATGGTGACTACCAATGGAGCACTTACCACACTCAATGCTACATATAATTTTCCTACTTAATCCTCATAATCAAGCTAGGAAGTGAGTACCATCATTATGAATAAATCTGGGTGCTTAAGTAAGGTGCACAAGACTATAACTGGGATGTGGTAGGAGCAGTAGGCAAACAAGCGTCCAGACTCCAAAACCTAAGCCCTCAGGACCACCCACAGGCCCTATGGCATGATCAAGGGTACATGTAAATCTCCTTTCAGGTTTTCTGGTATTGTCTTTGTGTCCCTTTTATCACAGCATCTAACATTAACTGTCCTTTAGTTTGAGGAAGGAGATGGAATCTGTGACCACTCAACTGCAAGGTTTTTTGTGTTTCATGGCGTTAGTATTGGGGCTTAAACTCAGGGCCTGGGTGCTGTCCCTTAGCTCAAGGTTGGCATGCTACTACTTGAGCTACAGCTCCATTCCCAGCTTTTTGGTGGTTAACTGGAAATAAAAGTCTCATGGACTTTCCTTCCTGGGCTGGGGGACTAAACCCCAGATCTTAGCCTCCTGTATAGCTATGATTACAGATGCGACCCATATCCAGCCTTCAATTGAGGGTCTTATGCCCATTTCCCATCCTTGCCTGTGGCATGCTTTGCAGGTACCAGCCATTCAAAGATGCTTATTAAACAAATATGTCTTTACACTGCCAGCATCTCCACAAGAACCTTCAGATCACACAGGGCTCCCCTCATTCCTAGATTCCTGGTTATTTTACCAACTGACTTCATATTTTGGCTTCAGAAGCCACACTGGACCATCACAGGCTGGAGGAAAGAAGTGGAAAGGGCTGGCTAGGGTGGACCACTACATGTAGATTACTAATATTCTTTTTCATTTTTGGGTCCAGTCGTGGGGCTTGAACTCTTCCAGCTTTTTTCCTTTTGCTTATGTGGTGCTGAGGAATCGAACCCAGAGCCTCATGCATGCAAGGCAAGCGCTCTACCACTGAGCCACCTTCCCAGCTCCTGATTACTAATGTTCTGTATAGAGCTCTGAATCACCCCTAAGGGATAATCCTTTCCTTCCTGCTTAATCCCTAGCACCCTGAGAGTCCTGTTCTAGTCAGGACTTTCTCCTGTTACTGAACCAAATCTTACTTCAATCTTCTCTTAGATGGCCAAAAAGAAGCTCTTGGTCTCTCTGGACAGTGATGCTGGGAATCAGTGCTTATATCATGTTTTTACTTACCTGTCAGGTGCTGCATATAAATACTTTAGATACTACCTCACTCAATCCTCATAACCACCATGAGGTGGATGCTATCATTATCCCTGTTTCTCAGAGGAGGACAATGAGGCAGCAAGTAGCTTGCACAGTCACACAACTAACAGCTGTGGAACTAGAGTCCAAACTTCAGTAATTTGGCTCCACAGTTCATGCCCTTCACCATTGCTATCCATAGGCCCAAATACCACCTTAACTATACTCAGTGAAGAGGAAGGCCCTGCAGTTCTGATCCACCTGGCCCATAGCACTCAGAAAACCAGAAATGCCACCTGGATTTTGATGACGGCTGGGAGCCAGGTCCTCAGGAAGTGGGAACGTTCAGCAAACTTCTGGCGAACCAGGAAGCCACGGAAGTGGGCCTGGAGCTGAATGACAAACCCAATATTGGCTTTCCAGAGCTGCTGGCGGTCATAGGCAGCAGTGACCTTGGTGATGGCCGACTGTGGAGGCAGGAGAGACAGCTAGTAGTCCTTTGGTGGATGGTAGCCTCTCCTGAAGCATACCCCACACATAATCCCCCCCACCCTGGCAGGGGCATTGCCAACCTGTATTTCCTCCTGGGTCAGGTGGGATGTGTTGAGGCGGCAGCCAGAGGGTTGCTCCCATGTTCCCTGAAAGGTCTGCAGATGGAAGTAATAGGCAGTGCCATCCTTCATGGCATGCTGGACCCAGAAAGCTGTGTCCCCTGTGCAAGAATCAGGTAAGCAGAAAAGATTCACGGGAGGCAAGAGGTGGCTGGGGCAGGCAGAGATGAGGAAGGTCAGGCTGGGAATATTACCTGGTTGTCGCTTCTTTGCCAGAGCATCTTCCAGAGCCTGCTGGTAGCCATTGGCACAGTGGGGAACTATCCCCCGGAGGGCCACATTGGGGTTCCTCAACACCCGCTCTGTCTGGGCTGCCTTGCCCTCCTTGATGGCCTGATTGATGGCAGCTACACCAAGGGCCACTGTTGGACATCAGGAGACAGCAGTCAGTCCCTCTCTGAGTTCCCTCCCATAGAGTGGAAGTCAGAGAAAGGATACAACATCATCCTATGTAATGGAGAGGAAAGAAGGGGTAGCAGTCAGGAAGGGCTGCTGCAGGAGGTAAAGGGGCCAAGTTAGGCAGCAGCAGGGGAAAAGCAGAATCAGCTCATTCTGGAGCTTAAAGGCAGGCCTTCCAGCCCTCAGACCCAGAGAATGGACTTCCTCAGCACTCAGCCTCGTATGTCAGTGTCTGCTTGCACTGGTCCTGTTTTCCCAAATTTCTGCCAACCATTTTTTTTCCCCTACCCAATACTACAATTTTGTAACCAGAGCTAATTGTTGGAATCTAAACTCACACTAGCAGCAGAAATGAGATGGATTTTTGGCCTCCATGTGATTGCACTGGCTTACTTTGCAGGGAAAGTGGCCACAGGAAGGCATAGAAGGAAGCAGCGGGTGGACTATGGGCTCCCAACTCCCGAGGATTTCCTGCCCAGCTGTCTGCCAGGAAATCCACCCTGTGGTCTGCAGCAAACCTCCTGTTCTGGATTTGGCCTGCCTCTCCTCAGCAATTGAAGGAGAGGCAAGGGAGTGGGCACTGCCCCTCTGGGCTGTTGTCCAGCCTTGTCCTTCCCTACCCACCCAATGCTCCTGACTGGCCCATTTACTTTTCTGAGCTGCATTTGTGTCCTGATTGGCCTTGACTATTCCCTGGCGGATCTCCTCTAGCCACAGTACAGCTCCAGGATCCCCTGTCACCTGAAAAATTGAGAGACATGGAAAAGAGATAAGACCCCTGGCCAACTCGCCCGGCAGAACCAAACTTCAAGCCATAGGGATGACAATCTCCATTCCCCTCTTCCTGCCTGTGTAGGCATAGCCTTGTGGATCCTTTGAAGGGCTGTCAGATACAAGAGGCATTTTTCTTATTTATACTAGTACTGGGGCTTGAACTCAGGGCCTGTGCTCTTGCTCAGCTGTTTTCACTCATGGTTGGCATTCTATCACTTACGCCATGTCTCCATTCTGACATTTTACTGGATAATTAGAAATAGAGGCGCTGATTATTCTGCCTGGGATGGCTTAGAACCATGATCTGTAGATCTCAACCTGCTGAGAAGCTAGGCTTACAGGCGTGAGCCACCAATATCTGACTCAGAAGGTACTTTTCTGCTTTCATTTGTCCAAGCATTAACTGAGAATCACCATAGGGTTCAACTTACCTTCTAGATTCTTCCTTTATTATTTTTTTTGGTCAGTTGTGGGGCTTGAACTCTGGGCCTGGGCGCTGGCCCTGAGCTCTTTAGCTCAAGGCACGGACACTACCACTTGAGCCACAGTGCCACATCCGGTTTTCTGGTGGTTAACTGGAGTTAAGTCTCACAGACTTTCCTTACCCAGGCTGCTTTGAACCGAGATCCTCAGATTACAGGTGTGAGCCACTAGTGCCCAGCTTCTTCTAGTTTCTTATACCATCAGTGTCTGCCACCTTCGTTTCTTCCAGTGATAGCTAGTGATAATTTCAGGGTCTTACACATTCTAGGCTGTATCTCCAGTCCTGCCCACCATCTTCAACAGCTCCATTCCCTGCCCTTGTGCCTCAATCATGTCGAGGAGCAGCCTACTCTGGAGGCTACACCTACCCACTTTCACTCCCCCTTTTCCAGGTTTTAAATTCACATCTCAGAGTGAACATGACCTTGACTTTTTCTTCCTTGTTTTGTTTGTTTGTTGGTTGGTGGGTAGAGGCTTGAATTCAGATTCTTCTGTTTGCTAGCTTATTCATTTTTTTGTTGGTCCTTTACCACTTGAACAAAGCCTCTAGCCCTGCTTTTTGCTAATTGTTTTAGAGATGGAGTTTTGTAGACTTTTCTGTCTGGGCTGGCTTTGAACTGTATCAGCCTCTTGGAGCTAGGATTATAGCATAACATGCTTCTTTTCCTATTCTTGTTCCATCTTCCTCTGATCCCACAAAGCACTGAGATGATTACATGAGACCCCAGGCCAAGGAGGCCCATACCTGCCACACTGTCAGTTTGACACCCAACTCTAGACTCTATACCTTCCCAACTCTCCTCATTAGTAATAGATTTTGAAATTAACATTTTACTGAGCCACGTGTTATTCTAAAACACTTTCTGATGAATATTTGCAAGGTACATAAAGCAATGCTTGGCGTAGAGTGAGAACTGTTAGCTAGTACTACTGTCATATTACCTCACTGCAATCAGCTCATTATCGTCACAAGTTTACAGGTGAGGAAACAGTGAGTGATACTGCAGGGTCAAACTGCAGGATGCAAACATCTAGTCTGGCTCAGAAGTCCTAGTTCTCAATCGCTCTGTCTGCTGCCACATACTCAAGGAATTTCAGGTACAAATCCCTGCCCTGTTTGTCAGCTCCCTTGATTTCTTTTCTCCCCTCATTCCGAGAGATGCCTCAGAGCAGGGAATGCAGTATTTTACAGATGAAGATACAGAGCTCAGAGACACCAGGATTTGCTCAAGGTCAGGTGACCACTAAGGATTAGAGTGAGGAATCCAGCCAACACTTCCAAGTGCCCTGGCAATGGGGGGGGTGTGTGTGTGGGTGGCATGCTTCTCCCATCACATTGGAAACCTGCTTATGCCCCATCCACCCCAGAAAGGGACTATAATTATCCATCAGGCTGGAGCTTGGCCAGAGGGCATGCTGGGCCCACCAACTTGGCCAGCCTAATCTCACCTGGGCCTTCTGCCTTTTGGCTGCCACGAGGAGGAGATGGTATCGAGGAGCAATAGGAAGGCTGACATCTTCCAGGCCAGCAGCAGGAAGCAGCAGGGCAGACAGCGTCTTCTCTGGACTGCCCTGGTCCAGAGCCTCATTGATAAGGCTGACTGCAAGAATCTCTGTGTGTGTGTATGTGTGTGTGTGAGAGAGAGAGAGAGAGAAAGAAAGAGAGAGAGAGAGAAAGAGAGAAGGAGAAAGAGAAAGAGAGAAAAAGAGAGAGAGAGAAAGAGAGAAAGAGAGAAAGGGGGGAGAGGGAGGGGGAGAGAGAGAAGAGATCTGGATGGGTAGCAGCCCTAGACTTATGGCTAAGGGAAGGGGCTGCCATGTGGGGCTGATACCCGCACCCCCCCCCCTCCATCCCCACGCCATCCCAGCTACAGACTGCACTCACGATCTGTCTCTTCCTGGACCTGGGCATTGACCTGGCTCACAGTGGCCTGCAGGTCATTCCAGCTCAGGAAGGCCTCATCCATACCACGCTTCTGTCGCAGCTTCAACAGAGCATCAAAGTAACTAGCAGCAGGGAGAGAGAGAGTGAGAAGGAGTGAGCAAGGTGAGTGGCATGTTCATGGCAAACTGGAAGATGGGTACATTTGATCTGGTTCCTCGTGTGACCTTCTGGTCACTGGTGTTCATTTCCCCTCACACACTGTTCTAAGCCTCTTCTGCTGGCTCTTTCCTGACTTCTAAATAAAAATACCCCAAATTTCTGTTTCCAGACTTTTTTTTTCTCCCTGCAGGCTCAATCCTAACAGATCTCACGGTTTTCAGTGATATATGCTAAGGACTCCCAATAGGACACTAGAACTTTCATGTATCCCAGCGGCCACAATATCTGCATGTAAATGTCCAATTAACACTTGAACTCTTGATACTCTTCATCAACCTTTGTGCCCTTTCTATCTCTCTTTTCTTACCAAAAATCTTGGAAGGCCTACCACATTTCATTTCCTCTCAGACTCCATATCGCTCCCCTACCAAATCCTGTTAGTTTTGTGTTCAGAACAAATCTACACACTGATGCCTTCTTACCACTTCCACTTCTGCCATCCTAGGCCAAGCCCCAGTCATCCCGCACCAGATTACTCCAATAGTGTCTAACAGGTCTCCCTGTCTCTCCCCTTGTACCCCTGCAGTAGATTCTCAGCTCAGCAGGCAAAATAATCCTGTTAAAGTAGGTCAGACCAGTTCCCTCCTCATTCAACCCATCTGATTCAATTCCTTCTTCACTTGGAATAAAAGCCAGAGACCTCCATGGTCTGGGTCTGCTACTTCATCTTCATCCACACTTCCCCTGCCTCACTCGTCTCTCCTGTAGGCATGTATTTTGCAGTGCTGAGGATTAAACCCAGGACCTTGCACTTACTTAGCAAGTGCCTCACCATTGAGCCACACCTTGATCCCTTCCCAGTGTTCTTTGAATCTATACTGTACAATTCCTTCTCAGGCCTCTGCCCTACACAGCCTGCTGGTAATCATTTGGGTTCCTCAGGTCCCTTTCTAATAATTCCTTTAACTCAGGAGCCATCTGCATATGTGTCCCATGATTTATCCCTTGGTCTTGATTTGTTTTACTCATTGCTTATAGGCCCTTCAGATCACGTCTCCTTCCACTTGTAAGTAAGTTGATGACTTACTTACAGGAACTTTGTTTTGTTCTCTATATTTCCCAGCACCAGATATTATTATCTGGCACATGGATAGGTACTCAAACATTTTCTGGAGAAGAATAAATCAGTGGAGGAAATGAGAGTGGTCATAAGCCTACTCTCTCCAGGGAACTGTGAACAGACCAAGAGGTGGCCATGGGCCCAAGAACAGGGCATTATACAGAAGTCCAGTTAAAAAGCAGGAGGACTGGGGCTGGGAAGGTGGCTCAGTGGTACAGTGCTTGCCTTGCATGCATGAGGCCCTGGGTTCGATTCCTCAGCACCACATAAGCAGAAAAAGCTGGAAGTGGCTCTGTGGCTCAAGTGGTAGAGTGCTAGCCTTGAGCTAAAGAGCTGAGGGACAGCCCAGGCCCAGAGTCCAGGCCCCACGACCGGCAAAAAATAAATAAACAAATAAATAAATAAAATAAAAATTAAAAAAGCAGGAGGACCCTTGGATCTTAGCTACCTTCTCTCCATCCTTGTACCCCAACTTATAGGTAGACTTTACTTACCGCTGAGCATTTTCTCCTTCCACCTGGGCCAGGCCTGTAGCAGGGTTCACCAGACTGCCCCAGAAGCCTTGGGTATCCCTGGCTTCCAGCGCATGATTAATCAGTACCACAGCTGAGAGCATCTCCACAGCCACAAAAAGTTCCTCCTGGCTCAGTTCCTGCAGTAGAAGAGAGAATAGTTTTCAAAGGGACTGCTAGAGCCTGGGGAAGGTGCCAACCTGCCCCAGTATTCTTCAACATCCCTATCTCCATCTCCAATGAAATTCACATTCATTTACTAACAGTAAAACACTCATCACCTGGAAATGTTATGTGCACACTTACAAAGATTTCAAATATAATATCAGTTAATTTTCATAACAAGCCAAATAGGGAGGTATCATTAATGGCCCCCTGTCCTAGCTCAGCCCATGGCCCATAATGTAGGTTAAACCTTGCTACCTGAGGGCTGGGAAGGTGGCTCAGTGGTAGAGTGCTTGCCTTGCATGCATGAGGCCCTGGGTTCAATTCCTCGGCACCACATAAGCAGAAAAAGACGGAAGTGGTGCTATGGCTCAAGTGGTAAAGCTCTAGCCTTGAGCTGAAGAGCTGAGGGGCAGCGCCCAGGCCCAGAGTTCAGGCCCCATGACTAACCCTCCAAAAAAACCAAACAACAACAACAACAAAAACCTCTGCTGCCTGACTGCAGAGCTTACACTTAACCAGTGAGCTCTGCCAGCAACCTCTGGACCCTACTTCACACCAAGAGCTATACTAGGATTAGGCATAGTAATATATGCCTGTAATCCCAGCAGTAGAGGCTGGGCAGATCAATCATTAGTTCAAGGACAGTGTAATATAACAAGATCTCATCTAAAAAAAAAGTAACAACCAAGGGAAAAACTAGGAGAAAGTGAAGGAAGGAGTAACACTGTCCAAAAATAAATGTACTCTTTACCTGACTTATGTAACTTTAACCCTCTGTACATCATTTTTTTTTGGGGGGGTCCGGTCGTGGGGGTTGAACTCTGGGCCTTGGCACTGTCCCTCGGCTCTTCAGCTCAAGACTACCACTTGAGGCACAGCACCACTTCCTGCTTTTTCTGCTTATGTGGTGCTGAGGAATCGAACCCAGGGCCTCATGCATGCAAGGCAAGCACTCTACCACTGAGCCACCTTTGCAGCCCCAGTACATCATTTTTATAATAACATTTTTTTTTAAAAGTACTCATAGCCAGGTGCCTGTGGCTCATACCTGTAATCCTAGTTACTCATCAGGGGGCTGAGATCTGAGGTTCAAAGCCAGCCTAGGCAGGAAAGTCCATGACACTCTTATCTCCAATAAACCACTAGAAAACTGGTTCAAAGTGGAAGAGGGCTACCCTTGAGGGAAAAAGCTCAGGGACAGGGGCTGGGAAGGTGGCTCAGTGGTAGAATGCTTGCCTTTCAGGCATAAAGCCTTGGGTTTGATTCCTCAGCACTACATAAGCAGAAAAAGACAGAAGTGGCACATGGCTCAAGTGGTAGAGCACTGGCCTTAAGCTGAAGAGCTGAGGGCAGCGCCTAGGCCCAGAGTTCAGGCCCCACGACCGACTTAAAAAAAAAAAAGCTCAGGGACAGTGCCCAGGCTCTGAGTTCAAGCCCCATGAATGACAAAAAAAAAAAACAGTACTTATTACCTGACATGAAATGGTAACCTCTGTACATCACCTTTATAATAACAATAAAAAAATTAATTTAAAAAAAAAGTACAGGCTGGAAAGCTAGTCTAGTGGTAGAGTGCTTGTCTTGCATGCATGAGGCCCTGGGTTTGATTCCTAAAAAACACATAAGCAGAAAAAGTCAGAAGTGGCACTGTGGCTCAAGTGGTAGATGCTAGCCTTGAGCTGAAGAGCTGAGGGACAGTGTCCAGGCCCAGAGTTCAGGCCCCATGACCGACCAAAAAAAAAAAAGTAACAACAAGGTGCCGGTGGCTCATACCTGTAATCCTAGCTACTCAGGAGGCTGAGATTTGAGGATTATGGTTCAAAGCTAGCCTGCGCAGGAAAGTCTGAGAGACTCTTATCGCCAATTAACCACCAGAAAACTGGAAGTGGCACTGAGGCTTAAGTGTTAGAGCACTCAACTTGAGCTGAAGAGCTGAGGGACAATGCCTAGGCCCAGAATTCAAACCCCATGACCAGAAAAAGAAAAAGAAAAAAAATAACAACCACAAAAGAATTAGACCCTGGGCACAGAGATGAAGATGAAGTGGCCACCTCCTCACTGCAATGCAAACTAGGAGGTCCTGGCCCCACCTCCCTACCTGGTTCTCTTCTTCCTCCTATTCAAATATAGGAGGAGCTTATGCTGCTCCTTGTGTCAGGAGCACCCTTCTTGTTTCCTACAGATGTTGTAAATAACAAGAATAATAGGGCTGGGAAGGTGGCTCAGTGATAGAGCACTTGCCTTGCATGCATGAGGCCCTGGGTTCGATTCCTCAGCACCACATAAGCAAAAAGAAAAAAGCCGGAAGTGGTGCTGTGGCTCAAGTGGTAGAGCGCTAGCCTTGAGCTGAAGAGCTGAGGGACAGCGTCCAGGCCCAGAGTTCAGGCCTCACGAATGGACCCCCCCCCAAAAAAAAAATGTATGTCAGGCTCTACTTTAATAGCTTGTGTGCTAACTGGTTGAGTCTTTATGACAATTTTGAGATAAATATACAACTCTTTCCAATTGTAATTAATTTTTTTCTTTGTTGGTTGTGGGGCTTGAACTTGGAACCTGGGTGCCATCCCTGAGCTCTTTTGCTCAAGACTAATGCTCTACCACTTTGAGCCACAGTGCCTCCTGGTTTTTTGGTGGTTAATTGGAGATAAGAATCTCATGGACTTTCCTGCCTGGGCTGACTTTGAACTGTGATCCTGGATCTCAGCCTCCTAAGTAGTTAGGATTATAGGCATGAGCCACCAATGCCCAGCTGTTCCAGATTTTATGTATGACCAAATTGAGGGGCAGTGAAGGTAAATAACCTGCCCAATGTCACACACATGGTTAAGATTTGATCTCTAAATTCTACCTTAACCGCTTTAATGCACTTGTACCTTTGGTACTTTTCTGATGTTTTCTTGTATCATAGTTACTCATATGTTGGGACTATCCCTTTCCTGTAGGTAGTACCCATGTCTAGTTCATGCCTGAAGTAGACATTTCATAAATGCTTGTTGTGGATGGGATTCTCTATTGTGTTTTCTCTCTTCCAGGAAGCCTTCCCAGCCTCTCAGCTCTGCTTCCTCTGCTTCCTTGATCTGATGTCTCTGGCTACATCATTTACTCCTCTCCTTCCTCTCTTCCTAGCCCCTCAGCTGGAGTTTAAGTCCTGTGACAGATGGGGAGAACCCTAGGCAAGGGCCACACTAGAGGCAGGACAGTGAGTAGTTCGAAGCATGAGCTGCAGCACATCTGGCTTCATTCACTCCAAGTGCTCCAATCACACAGAGGGGCAAGTGACAACTTTTGCATTCCTGTTTCCTCATCTTTCAAATACAAATAATAACATTCACCTGACAGGGACTAAATATTGACTGTAAAGCAATGTTTACTCAAGGGTACTAGCTCCCATAATGCTCAATAAGGCAAGGCAGACTCTTCTCCCCCATCCTAATCTCTGGTGAGCATTCCAGATTGTCCTGAGAGGATGGGCTGCCCCTGAGCCTCTGGCTGCTTGGAAACCCCAAAGCCGGTCGAGCATTTCTGAGGCTTACCCCCTGCTGCTGCCGCTGGAGCACTGCCAGTTCCTGCTGGTACACAGTGGAGGCAAATGGGTACACTGTGGGCAGCTGGGCTTCGGGGCACATCAGCTCCTTCACAGTGTCAGCAGCCACTCCCCTCTGGATGGCTCTGTTGATCCGAAGCACAGCCTGGAGCACTGCAGGGGAGGAGATCAAGAGACTGCATAGGCTGGGCATTCTGTGCCCTCTCTCCTAGCCATTTAGGTCCTCTGAGAGGAGATGGCTTTGTAAATGCTTGAGAAAGCCATTCTGCTTGATTCATAATGAATCTCTACATGTTCAAGAGAAAAAGGGACTGGATCACTTTAAGAAGAGGCTCTGTAAGCAGCAATTTGTCAAGCCTAGAAGTTGAGTAGCTCAGCATGTAACTCACAGTAGCTGTCATGGCAGAGGTGAATTTCTAAGGTGGTGAGACCAAGATTGACAGGTGGCTATGGAGTATAACTGAGATGAGGTGAGTCAAGGGGCTCTAGGGACCAAGCCTTGGTGACAGCACAGCAGAATAAGAAACCAGCTTCCGGCTAAGAAGGGCTACAGTGTGTTGGTGTAGTTTGAGCTTACAAACTCTAGGGCTTATAAAATGCCCGGCAGATGTGGATACTGTCTTCAAGGAGCATTCAATCTACTGGGGAGTATGGCATAGCTGTCAATGCCATTTTAGAAATGCTTTCACTCCCCCAGGTAAGATGCATTGGCAGTACAGGGGAGGAGGGATTCTAGCTGGGAGTGAGTAGACTTCACAGAAGAGAAGCCTCTGATACAGCTCTGGAGCTGCTTTCACCTGCTCCTGACAGGTGAAAATATGGGAGAAATGTAATCTAGAAGCCCAGAGGGCCTTGTGTTGGGAAAGGCTGGGGATAGACAGGAAGAGCAGATTGTTTGGTTTAGTTGAGTTGGGTGGAATATGAAAGAAAGAGATGAGGGAGAACTCAGGAAAAGTCTCTTTTGCCAGACCAAGAAGATAGGAAGGTAGGGTAAATAATGGAAGAATCCAGGAAGATCCAAAGATGTTCAACAAGGGGCTCATGCCTGAAATCCTAGCTACTCAGGAAGCTGAGATCTGAGAATCCAGGTTCAAAGCCAGCCCAGGCAGGAAAGTCCATGAAACTCTTATCTCCAATTAACCACTAGAAAACCAGAAATAGCACTGTGGCTCAAAGTGGTAGAGTGCTAGCCTTGAGCAAAAGGAGCTCAGGGATAATGCCCAGGTCCTGAGTTCAAGACCCATGACTGACTGACAAAAAAAAAAAATGTTCAGGGAGATAAGATCAGATCTATGCTTGAGCAATTATTCTGGCAACTAGCACCAAGAACAAAGTGATCAGATAAGGTAGGCAGCTAGCCCGGAGGAGCCTAGGGGCTACTATGAGCTGGTGTCTGAAGGCTGTTATACAAAAGTAAATGGTTATTGAGCTACCTCAAATCTGACTGTGAGTCAAGACTGTGTAAAGCAACTGTAACAGGTTTGCTGTTCACAAGGTGATGCAGTCTGACTGAGCACTCTACTTTTCTCCATTCTTTCTAGACAGATCAACCTCTTGCAGGGAGATAATGAATTCTTTTTTTTTTTTCTTTTCTTTTTTTTGGTCGGTCGTGGGGCTTGAACTTTGGGCCTGAGTGCTGTCCCTCAGCTCTTCAGCTCAAGACTAGCGCTCTACCACTTGAGCCACAGCGCCACTTCTGGTTTTCTGGTGGTTAATTGGAGATAAGAGTCTCATTGACTTTCCTGCCTGTGCTGGCTTTAAACCGTAATTCTCAGATCTCACACTCCTGAGTAGTTAGGGTTACAGGTGTGAGACACCAGCACCCAGTTCTAATTCAGTCTTGAATACATGATTGTATTTGGGTATGTTTTTAAGGGGAATTGAGTTATTAGAATGAGATTCACTCTTTTCTTTTTTCTTTTTTGTTTTGGTCAGTCGTGGGGCTTGAACTCTGGGCCTGTGCACTGTCTCTCAGCTCTTCAGCCTAAGGCTACGGCTCTACCAGTTGAGCTACAGCGCCACTTCCAGTTTTCTGTTGGTTTATTGGAGATAAGTTTCACGAACTTTTCTGCCTGGGCTGGCTTTGAATCGCGATCCTCAGTTCTCAGCCTCCTGAATAGCTAGGATTACAGGCGTGAGCCACCAGCACTTGGCTGAGATTCACTCTTATCTAGGAAATCACCACACTTCAAATTCCCCCCACTAAAACTGTGCAGGTTGAAATGAACTACCAAAAAGGAAGCTGCCTGCTCAGGGGTCCAGTCCTGTGTAATACTGACAGGTCCTCATCTCTAAGGCCTTAATGAACTTATCTGTAGTGTCCTTCCAGAGAGCCTGGAAGAGGGGAGAAGTCTTTGCCAGGCTGAGAAACTGGTCAACAGTTGGCCTTGCTCAACATAGAAGCCAGCCAAGAAGTGATGCTCTTATAGGGCAGTAAGACATTTTCAGCTTAGAGATTACTTACTGGCTTGTTCTTGATCACCCTTCTTGTTGGCAGCAGCCACACCAGCCTGGACCTCCTCTTTTTCCAGAAGCTCCACCAGGCCCAGTTCCTAAAAGAGGGAAGAGATACAGAAGAGAATCCTCAAGAACTGGAGGTGTGGCTCAAGTCAACCAGTGCTTGCTTAGCAAGCATGGGGCCCCAGATTCAAACCCCATACAACCAAGAACAAAAAAAGAGAATCCTCTTGGCCATGCTGCTAACATGAGCTCCAGGTCCACTCAGTCACCCACCCTCAATTCTGCCCTCTGCCTTTAGGCCTGGCCCACTCATCCTTTTTAACTCATCTTTAACTTTCTTATAAGTATCATCTAAAATAATGATGTAGATAATACAAGTATGAATAGTATTAGAAAGAAAGCCAAAGCACTAAGAATAAAATTTCTAATTGAGACACCCAACTCAACAACAAGGAAGCATATTATTGCCAGGGATTGCCCCTGGCTCTCTCTTAGTCTGAGGGACTCAAAGGGCAGAGCTGAACAGTTTGGTCTACTAAGCTTTTGGGTAATTTAACCGTTTATATATGGAGTCTGCACTTGCAGAATACAAAGGATGGACAGTGGTGATGCCCAAGTAAGAGGTCCTTTCCCATCCTACAGTCAGACAGAGGGATGTCAGGTAAGAGACAGACTGACCTGTGCTTTCTGCTCTCTGTCTGAGCTTAGCTGTTCCAGGTACCAGTCAGCAAAGTCTCTCCTTACCCCTCGGAGGGCCAAGGCAGAATCTTGAAGAGCCTCAAGCAAGGCCTCGGGGCTCTGTCTTTCCAGAGCATCATCAACAACTTCCAGAGCTCCACAGACTGAAGAAGACCAAGACTCAGTGAGGAACAGTGTAGAAAGCCCATCTCTCCTCAGCCCAGTCATAGTAATCTGACTTTCTTCTTGTTTGTTCAGAATCACCCCTATCCTTGCCCCCGTGGTTCCTGGGTCCATATAGTCCAGCCCAAACTTCCTTTTTTTTGGTTGGTCATGGAGCTTGAACTCTGGGCCTGGGTGCTTTCCCTCAGCTTTTCAGCTCAAAGCGAGCACTCTACCACTTAAACCACAGAGCCACTTCTGGTTTTCTGGTGGTTTTCTGGAGATAAGAGTTTCACAAACTTTTCTGCCCAGGCTGGCTTTGAACCGCAATCCTCAGATCTTAGCCACCTAAGTAGCTAGGATTACAGCGCCCCACTTTATTCTTTTTTTTGGTGAAGTCTTTATACACAGAGCCTAGGTGCTGTCCCTGAGCTTTTTTTTGTTCAAGGTTAGCTCTCTACCACTGGTGCCACAACTCTACTTCCAGCTTTTTGGTGGTTAAATGAAGGTAAGAGTCTTACAGACTTTCCTGCCTGGGCTGATTTTGAACCCCAATCATTAGATTTCAGCCTCCTGAGTAGCTAGGATCACAAGCATGAGCCACTGGCACCTGGCAAATTTCTTTTTTTAAATTTTTTTTGCCAGTCCTGGGGCTTGAACTCAGGGCTTGGGCACTGTCCCTGAGCTTCTTTTTGCTCAAGGCTAGCATTCTACCACTTGAGCCACAAGGCCACTTCCAGCTTTTTCTGTTTATGTAGTACCGAGAAATTTAAGCCACATTAAGCCACATTCCCAGCCCCTGGCCAAATTTTTTGTTTTAGCCTTCATAGCCTTTCTATCTGTCCATCTTAGACCATGAGGACATCCTAACCTTAACAGGGTACAGTGTCCTCTTCTTGTGGTGCTGGGGGTTGAACCCAGGGCCTTTTGTATATTAGGTAAATACTTTACCACTTGTTTTCTCCTAGCTCCTTTTTTTCCCCTTATACAGGGTCTTCTCCATCAGCCTCCCAAATATTGAGATATATACTATCTACCATGCATTGATATACTGCCTTCTAAAACAATTTTTTGTCAATACTGGGGTTTGAATTCAAGGCTTTATACTTACTAGGCAGGTGTGCTACCACTTGAACCATGTCCCCCAGACACACTTCTTTTTTGAAGGACCCCAGTCCAATTGCCCCGCCCCTCCCGCCCCTGGCCCCCAGCACCAAAAGTTGAAAGGCATTCCCTTTTTGCCTCCATCCTTTCCTCTTCATGGGCCTCCATATAAACAGAAGCCTCTCTGGCAAGTACCATTCTCTACCAATGGCCAGACAGCAAAACATTTATTCCTTAGACTTGCATCTTTCCTTGAAGCAAGAGCTGGCCTAAAAGAGGTCATAAGTCTTCCATTTAAAGCCATCTTCAGCTGGGCACCGGTGGCTCATGCCTGTAATCCTAGCTACTCAGGAGGCTGAGATCTGACGATTGCGGTTCAAAGCCAGCCCAAGTAGGAAAGTCCATGGGATTCTTTTTTTTTTTTTAATTGTGAAAATACCGTAGTACAGAGAGGTTACAATTACATGGGCAAGATAACGAGTACATTTCTTATCAAGCATTGTTGCCTCCTCCTTTGTTTCCCCTTCCCATCCCTTCTCATACCCACATCCCCACCGTCCCCCTATGTGGGATTCTTATCTCCAATTAACCACCAGAAAACTGCAAATGGTGCTGTGGCTTAAGGGGTAGAGTGCTTGCCTTGAGCTGAAGAACTCAGAAAGAGTGCCTAGGCCCAGAGTTCAAGCCCCATAATGGGGGCGTGAGGGGGAGGGTAGTGGGGGGGGTATGTGATCGTCAAACCTCTCAGGTTAGAGAGTATTGAGAGTGCCTCAACCCCTTTTGCCTATATCTTACCATTGACATGGTTGATGTTGCCCTGGATTTCAGCCTGGGTTAGGTAGTAGTCATAGATGTCCTGACCTTCTCTGTCATCCTGCAGAAACTATATTGAGAGGGGAATCTGGGAAAACCAATGTAATTATTTTCTATTCTTCCCTACCCATTTCTTCTTCTAGGGGAACTTTTCCAAGACCAAAGGTCAGTCTACTTAGGACTGAAGAAATTATGGTAAACTTGTGGCATTGACACAATTAAGCCATACTAACCTTTAGAATTTATAATCTCATCCTATTCCACTCTCCAGAGCTCTATCAAGTCTCCCTGAAGCCAGGTGCTAGTGGCTCATGCCTATAATCCTAGCTACTGAGGAGGCTGATATCTGAGCATCACTGTTTAAAGACAGACTTTTGTCTAATGACTGTTATCTCCACTAAACTACCAAAAAATCCAGAAGGAAAGCTGAGGCTCAAGTGGTAGAGCCCTAGTCTAAAGCAAAAAGCAAGCCAGGGACAGAACTTAGGCCCTGAGTTCAAGCCCCAGGACGGACACAAGGACACAAAGACACACAGACACACACACACACCTCCCTAAAGATATCCCTCTTGAACTTCTCTAGCTGTCTGTTCTGAATTCATATTTTTTCTCAAGTTCCTTTCCTACTTCTCTAAAATCACTGACAAGCTACAGTTTTGCTAAGAAGCACCTTTGGAATTTAAGACAAAATGAATAGAAATTTTGGATTCACTTGACACTTTTTTTTTTGGGGGGGTCCAGTCGTGGGGCCTGAAATCTGGGCCTGGGCGCTGCCCCTCAGCTCTTCAGCTCAACGCTAACACTCTACCACTTGAGCCACAGTGCCACTTCTGGCTTTTTTCTTTTTGCTTATGTGGTGCTGAGGAATCGAACCCAGGTCCACACGCATACAAGGCAAGCGCTCTACCACTGAGCCACCTTCCCAGCCCCGAGATTTTCTAACTATGCAATTTTTCCACCCCATCATCCCTAGCCTCTTCCTTACGTGGTTCCTGGCATTGGCAGCTTTCTCCATCTTGGCCAGGGCCAGCAGCTCCTGGTAGATGGCTGCTAGAGGTTCCCGAAGATTCCCCAGAAGAGCACTGGGATTCTTTAAGGCAGCCAGGGTGTCCTCAACCACCCCTCGTTCCACTGCCTCATTGATGGCAAGGACAGCTGCATGGACTGGGGGGAGGGGGGAACGGAAACAAGGTCAAAAGGCCAGAAAGACCCCAGACCAGAGCAAAAGCAGTAGCAGACCACTCTGATACAATCATCTCCTTTTGTATTCTCAGAGAAAGGCAACCTGACTATCTTGCCTATAAATATTACTGGCCAGAGCCCAGACCCTACCTGTAGCCTCATCCACTGAGAGCTCATTGGCCAGGATGCCCCCGATCTTGCTGAAGGCAGGCAGCTGGAGGCCATACTTAGCCAGTTCAGAGGCCATGTTGCTGAGTTCCTCAGCTGCAATGATACCACAGGTGCTTTTCATCAGGCCCAGAAATCTCAAGACTCTGTTCAGACTGGTAGATGAAAAAGGAATTGTGCTTACCTGTGAATTTCACTTTTCCATATAGATCATGGATCTGAGGGGCCAATCCCAGCCGGAAGAGGAAGAGACTGAGAAAGAATAGAGAGTTGGGTGTCACTGGCATCTACTCACTTCAACACTCTTGACCATAGGAGGTTTGTAGGAAAGATTACAAGGAGCCCAAGATGAAGATCACTCAGCCTTTGTTCTCAATCCACATAAAGAAATTTTAATGTCTATCAGCCTGAGTCAAGAGCTACAAACAGGGGGCTGGGAAGGTAGCTCAGCGGTAGAATGCATGCCTTACAAGCAAGAGGCCCTGGGTTCGATTCCTCAGCACCACATAAACAGAAAAAGCCAGAAGTGGCGCTGTGGCTACAGTGGTAGAGCACTAGCCTTGAGCTGAAGAGCGCCCAGACCCAGAGTTCAGGCCCCATGACCGGCAAAAAAAAAAGAGAGCTACAAACAGGAAATGGATCCTGTGGGAGGCCTGTGGGTTTGGGAAGGCTTCACAAAGAACACACTGCAGTAGAAAGAACACAGCAATGGGCTGGAAATGTGGTGTAGTGGTAGAGTGCCTGCCTAGCATGCATGAAGCCCTGTGTTCAATTCCTCAGTACCACATAAACAGAAAAAGCTGGAAGTGACACTGTGGCTTAAGTGGTACAGTGCTAGCCTTGGGCAAAAAAGCTCAGGGACAGTGCCTAGGCCCTGAGTTCAAGGCCCAGGACTGGCCAAAAAAAAAAAAACACACACACAGCAAGAAGACAACTTTCTAAGTCCAGGGATGGAGGTACAAATTGACATGGGAAGTGAAGACAGGAAGAGATGACAAACCAGTATGTCAGAATTGGTCAGTCACTGTCACTGATTTAGCTGCTGATGGCCAGCCTTCCCTATTTACAATAAGAGGTTCTCATGGGATGTTGAGGAGTCCTATTCTGATTCCTTTATACCCCAGTCACAAGCTGAAGACCTTATCCTGCCTGCCCTTTCCATTTACCTACAGGGGCAAAAGCTAAACACATCCATGCAACCTAAATCCACACTATCCTAAGAAGTGCTTATTGTGGACTACCCTCCCTCCTTCCTGCTGTCATTGTTGCTGTTGATGATTAGTTATATTCACCTAGAGGAAGCTGGATGACAAAATTTGGCATAACTCACCTGAGAGCATGAATGCAGTAGATCACCCGGGGCATGTTCTTCTTGTCATAGATGTCTGTGGTCTCTGGGAAGAAGGTCTAGAGAGGAAAACAGCCTCTTATTGCAACTGGGGACTTTTAAAGAGTCCTAGGTATAGAAAAGGCTGAGCATTATATCATTTCCAACTTGAGTCATATACTCCCATTGCCTGGGCCTTCTAAGTCAATCTCTCCCATCAATTCCAGTGTAAAAAAGGCAGTGAGGACACATACTAAAACAAGACTCAACCACAGTCACATGTGCCCTGGATTAACTGAACATGAGATGAGGCTACAGAGGCTGCTGAATGAAAGCCACATGCTCCAGGAAAAACAAGCCCTGGTCGCTTACAGTGACGGTGAGCCTGTGCTCCTTACCTGAGACTCTTGTCAGAAGGGTAAGCAGTTGGCCATGCTTCCATGGAGGGACCAGTGAGGTATGTGTTACCAAGGACCACAAAGGCATCAGGTGTGACACCCCTATCTCCAAGTCAGAGGTTTCTCGGACCCATGGAGGAGACTCCTCTAAGAACTGAGTCACCCTAGGCATGTCACCTAGCAACTGGCATCAGGCCTAACTTCATACACCATAGAATCCTATCATGTCTTAATTTGTCTAGTTATTTACAAGGGGAATTATCCGATCATCTGACTCTGCTGCTAACCTTTTGAGATAGACAGCAGGAATTACTACCCCATCTCAGAGATGAGAACAAATTGGGATCCATAGAGGGAAAGGACATGCATCATGTATCCAGTTGGGGTCTTGGTCTTCAACCTCCATCTTAAAGTCTACCACCTAAGGAAATGGTATGTCCTTATTTCACTCTGAAATTCTGTGAAAAGATGGCTGGCTGTTGTGAGCCCCATCTCCTATATTACATAGTATCTCACTGCATAATGGTGGTGATGCCACTCAGCTTGGGGGACCTTGAGCTTCTTTTATCCACAGAGAAGTAGAGGCAAAAACCAAGTAAGCTGATTCAAAGACACACAGCTCCAAGTAGCTGCAGTTTAGAAGACACATGGGGTAAAGGGTCCAGGGAGACAGAGAATGTTGGGTAGGGTGGGAGGGTTTGTTACCGAAGGCAGACCGATGTGGGCAATTGCAGACAGCCAAAAGTTGATGTTGTCTGTGTGACGGAAATGCAAACCAGTTGCCTGAAAGGGAAGAAAAGCGAGAAGAATCTATTGCCACAGTTCTCAATGCTTTCTATAGGCAAGGCCCAGACCATAACTAAGCATTCAAGAAGGGTGGGTAGAAACAGAGGACCCAGCCTGTGGATTTCCTACCCCTACAGGATAGAAACCACCAAGAATGACTGGGCTCGCCAGGCGCCAGTGGCTCACGCCTGTAATCCTAGCTACTCAGGAGGCTGAGATCTGAGGACCGCGGTTCAAAGCCAGCCCAGGCAGGAAGCTCCGTGAGACTCTTATCTCCAATAAACCACTAGAAAACCAGAAGTGGTGCTGTAGCTCAAGCAGTAGAGCACTCGCCTTGAGCTGAAGAGCGCAGGGACAGCGCCCAAGCCCAGAGTTCAAGCCCCACGACCAACAACAACAAAAAGAATGAATGGGCTAGCTGAACATTGGAAGGACAACACAGGATAAGGCTATTAGTGCAGTAAGGCTCCTAGAAAGGCAAAATCCAAGTTGGAATAGGAGGAAAGGAGGGTTGCGATAGCAAGAGCAGAGAAGGGGCATATGACAGAAAGACCCTTCAGGGTGAACACCCAAAATCTACAGGCAGTTCACATCTCAGGGCCATCTTAAAGCCTATCTAGCAAATGCCCCTTGCTACTGAGGATAGTGTACACCCACCTTATTGGAAGATACAAATTAGTACCTCTGGTCCCAGAGTGATGATCAATAGCACCCACTTTCATCCTCAGAAGTGTCCAAGTTTGAACAATAAATGCTATGGTTATGGTACCCTTACAGCTGCAAGAAGGGGTCACTTGAGAGGAAGAAAGTAAAAGATGAAGTACTCTACACCCACCTGGTACCTCAGTTGCTCTGCATCATAGATCTTCTTCAAGGGGACCACAGAGGGTGCAAAACAGTGGCCCAGCTTAGCCAGCAGCACTCCATTTCGGAGGCTCTCCTCCAACTCTACAGGGGAAGGAAGCTCCTCCTTCAGGCAGGCCTCCATCCAGCTGTGTCACAAACACTGTGTCACTCATTTTGGCAGGACCTGTCTCTCCCTCCCCATTTCCACTCCACCATCAATTCTTTTATCTTCATCCTTCTTCCCAAGCTACTCCAAATACCTGGACTGATCAACCTTCAGCTCCATAAACCCAAGAAGAACTTTCCTAAGGGACACTGTACCTGTCCATCATCAGGGAGGGTTACATAGACTACTATATAACAGAATCTCTCAATCTGCCTGGTCGCCTATCTTGACTGCTGAACCAAACTGACTCTGATACTTCCCTCATTCTGTCTACATTGTTCTCTAAGAACTTGGGTACAAAAAAAAAAAAAAAAAAAACCCTTGTCTGAGCCACGTGCTGGTGGCTCTCACCTGTAATCCTATTCAGGAGACTGATACCTAAGGATTGTGATTCAAAGCCAGCCCAGGCAAGAAAGTCCATGAAACTCTTATCTCCAATCAACCACCAGAAAATGAGAAGTGGAACTGTGGCTCAACGTGGTTAAGCACTAGCTAGTCTTGAGCAAAAGAGCTCAGGGACAGCACCCAGGTCCTGAGTTCAAGCCCCTTAACCAGCAAAAAAAAAAAAAAGTCCATATCTGCTACAGTGATGTTCATGGTTTACCAGTCAGTTTCGACGAGGAAGAGAATGGTAGGGATCTTATGGACTGATGGAATGGGAAAACATGAAGGGATAAAAGTCAGAGCTCTTTGAACCAGAAGGTCCACTTTCCATGTCCCTCAATTAACCTATAAGACTCAGTTATATAATTGGCAAAATGGCGAGGGGGGGGAGGGGGAGGAAGGGAAAGATGGGAAGGGATGGGAAGAGGAAACAAAGGAGGAGGCAACAATGCTTGATAAGAAATGTACTCATTACTTTGCCCATGTAATTGTAACCCCTCTGTACGGTATTTTCACACACACAAAAAAATTGGCAAAATGAGGACAATGTCTGCTTCAGTGGGCAGTTGCCAGAGTCAATGAGTTAATGATTGTGAAAATACTTCAACTTTTTTTTTTTTGGGGGGGGTGGTTGGTCCTGGGGCCTGAACTCTGTGCCTGGGTGCTGTCCCTCAGCTGTTCAGCTCAAGGCTAGTGCTCTACCATTTGAGCCACAGCGCCACTTCTGTCCTTTTCTGCTTATATGGTGCTGAGGAATCGAACCCAGGGCCTCATGCATGCAAGGCAAGCACTCTACCCCTAAGCCACCTTCCCAGCCTCTACTTCAACTTTTATTAAGCCAGGCACTGGTGGCCTGTAATCCTAGCCACACAGGAGGATCATGGCATGAAGCCAGCATGGCAGGGAAGTCTATGAAACTCTTATCTTCAATTAACTACCAAAAAGCCTGAAATAGAAGTGGGTCTCTAGTGGTAGCTAAACTTGAACAAAAACTAAGGGATAGCGCTTAGGCCCTAAGTAAACCCTAGTAAAGGTAAATAAATAAATAAATGCTGGTGGGTTTATAAAGGCAAAAATAAGGGCTCCTCAAATGGAATCTTCCAGAATTTCCTACAAGGAAGTATCTGTTTCTAAAGACAGCCAGGCACACATATGTCTCACCAAATTTTCCGTCTGCTCCATCTTGCCTGTTTCTGAGAAAGCATTAGAACTATTTTTTTTTTGTCAGTGTTTTTTTTTTTTTTGTCAGGCTTGCTCTCAGGGACTGGGCGCTGTCCCTGACCACTTTTGTTTAAGGCTAACACTCTACACTTTGAGCCACAGTGCCATTTCTGGTTTCCTGGTTGTTAATTGGAGATAAGAGTCTTGTAAGACTTCCCTGTCCCAGATGGCTTTGAACCGCAATCTTTAGATCTCAGCCTCTTGAGTAGCTAGAATTACAGGAGTGAGCCACCAACACCTGGCTAAAAAGAATATTGGTTACAAGGAAATAATTCAGTATCCTATCTTTTCTGGACAGACTAACTTTCAGGGTTACTAGATAGCCCTAAGATGACAAAGAAAAGCTCATTTTCTAGAAAAAAATTTCAGTTAATTAGTAAAGAAGAAATTAAAAGTCAATAATGAAGAAAAATTAGAAAATAGGCCCTGAGGGCTGGGAAGGTGGCTCAGTGGTAGAGCGCTTGCCTTGCATGCTCGAGGCCCTGGGTTCGATTCCTCAGCAC